CATAACAATTATTCATTTGTCCGTTTTAATATTAAGTATTAGATACTTAATATTATGGGTTACATATTGCACTTTGATTGAAGCTTGTCCATTGACAAGAAAATACAGAAAACCATTTTAAATATACTTTCTGGATAAGACTAAAATAAATAATACAGAAATAATATAACAAATCTCCATGGGTTTTGGGAACACAAAAATAAATAAATGTCCCTGCTATTTAGAAGCTCACAGTCTAAAGGGGAACAAATAAGGGACAACTGATTGAAGTATGACAGTTTTGAAAGTGACATGTACAAACAAATATGAGAACCTTAAGAGGGTCACTTAATCAAAAATTAGTAGAATGAGGAATGGTTTCAGTTCAAGTTAATGAGCTTTAAAAGGAGTTGCCAAAACAACAAAAAATGTTGCCAAGAAAAGAATGGTGGGTGAGAGGGATATCGTTTCTATAAAAGGAACTGCCAATTAAACCTGGAGACTGGACTGCTTGAACTTAAAGCCTTTGCAACTCTTTAAAGATAGTAGGAGCCAATCAACTAGTGACTCTTAGATCTAATAAAGGGAATATGTATAGAGTGGAGCACCTTTCTGATTTTTGCAATTGTTAAATACAATTTTCTTAGATTCACCTTTTGTGCTATGAATACAATTTAAGAAGAAAATCCCATACTAATTAATGTGTTGAGAAGAGTTTACTATGGTGCTGACCACAGACACAGAATGAACAGTTTGGTATACTGAGTACTTATTATCTCCTTTTAAGTAAAAGTGACCAAAAGCTAAAAGAAAGGTATCTAAAAAATCTGTAAGTTGTATCAAAATCAGATACTAGGGTTGTTTAAAATAACATTCTGTAAGTTTGGAGAATACAAAAAGTAGCTTAAAGTACTTTGTTATCTATGAGTAGTGTACTAGAAGGTGCTATAAGAATATCAGAAAGTCAGTTTTACAATAAAAATAGTATGGCAGTTCTGATGGCAGTATTCTGAAAACTTTGCCCCTGAGAACAATTCTAGGTCTATAGGCAAGTAAAGAGCATCTTCATTTCAAGTTTTAGTCCTCCGGACAGATTAATTTTAAAATAAACCACTAGTTTAACACATTTTAAAATGGCTTCAGTGTTTGACAATTCAATCTGAGTCCACTAAATGGGAAAATTTAAAGTTACTGAAATATAAATTTATTGTACCTATAAATATATTGCTAGTCATTCTATTTAGAGTGTATTTATATCTACTACTTGATGAATCTCTATATCAGGGTCTTCAAATGGTTACCTGAATTTCTAAATATATATTAAGCATAAAATACTTATGAAACGCTTACCCATAAAGTACTGCAATATACACAAATACGTGAAGTACTAGTATAGTATTTGTATAGCAAAACATCATTTCATGATTTTTTTCCACATTAGAAACTCAGAAAAATATTTTTTACTAAAGTGCAAAATAAAACAAAGCTTGGCTTTGTTTGATGATATTTTCTATTTACTTTTCATTTAAATGTTAAATATTTTTAAAATTGAATAAAAATGTACAGATGTTTCGCAACTAAGAGCCATTTTAGCTTTCAACTCTCAAAGTTACAAAATCTGTTTGTGCTTTCTCTGTTTTTCTTTTCAGTTCTGCTTCTAGAATCTCCCCCCATGTGTCTGCATCCATCGGGTACATGATTTTTGGTAGGCTTACAGGAGAATGTATGTTGCTGAATCTGCCACTTAGCCATTCATGTTTCTGTTTACTCTTCGGGTAATTCCTCTGTACTGTTTCCTGAAAGAGGTAAACCATCATCATTCAATAATTTAATTGGAGGTAGGTCAGTGAGTTTGAGACTAGAGAAGCTGTTTGACAGGACTGAGAAGTAGGTCAAGTATCGAAGATACACATACACTAATAAATGGTTATGTGTATGTGCAGTGAGTCAAAAATCTGCTTGGGTGGCTGTGTTTGGGTAAGGTGGAGTGAGCAGTAATCATGCTCTTTCTGACTGACAGAAAAATTGCCTGAATTTAGGATTTAAAAATGTCAAAGGATGGGTAGAAGATAGTGGTTTTCAGAACAATAATTCAACTTGCTCTCATCTTCAAGTTGACACACTGTCACTCTGTATGTTAAGTCTACATTCTCCAAAGAAAGATAGAATTGAATCAAATCTACTACAATAGCATTGTCAAGGACACTGCAGACGCTGAAGATTAAACTTACCCTCAGGGAACAACCATTTTTCACATCATTCTTTACTTCTGGGCACATAGATTGTATAGTCAAGTAAGGCCCTTTCCATATGGAGTCAGTATTGCTTATTATGTTATTCCAGTAGTGGCATGTCATTGAAGCTGAGCACAAACTTGGAATGTCCAGCAGACTGAAAATGTAGCAATAAACTTCTGGAGGCAGCAGTTCAAAGTAGTTAATTTGACTCTCTCTGTTGTCATTCTCAGCATCCAAAGAGTTCATTTCTATGTTGGAATCTCCTGAATTATGTTTTTTAGTATAGCTTGGTGTGTAGTAAATTATCTTCAAATGTAACCTTAAAGGCAAAGTTTAAACATACTCAGTTTCATTAGATGAGACTCGGTCCTATGCTGAAATAGATGTTTTCTGGGTATGATTTAAAGAACTTTAATTTTCTGTACTTAAGTTTCGTCATGTATAAAATAATGTTAACCATGCTTTTTTCCTGAGTGTGCACAGGACTAATATGTGAACTATCTAACCTCTGAACTGTAATATCTGAACTGTACATGGAAAATACTCAATATTCTTCTTCTTTTAAAATATTGTTAGTAAATGAGTTATATTTGTCTTTCCATCTCCAAAGAATACTATCTGAGTATTCATTATAATTTATTGAATTTAGTAGTAGATTTGACTATTGTGAGACCACATTTGATTCCAAGTTTTATTAAGAAACCCTGAACATATTTTAAAAATATTGAGATTATTTCAGAAAACATGTATGATTCAATTCGATTAGACTTCCAAATACTTGTCTGTAGGAACTGATACCTTATTGTTAAGGTCTTCATTTACAATTTGTGACTTAACCACCCTAATGGACTTTAAATACTCTATATAAGAATAGTTTATTTACTGGCAACTGATAGGTGGGTGCCCACATTCCATACAAATACTGTCTGAAATGGACAAGAGGATGTTTAGTTAGAATGACACAGTTTCAAATATTCAGTTCAGTTATAAGAGTAGTATTTCAGAAATGGTGTATGAACACTATCCTACATGTACATTTAATTATGAACTATGGACAATAGTCCTGGAGGCCATCAAGTAATTATAAACAATGTTTACATTTCAGCTAGTTATAGCACAGGTGGTTTTAAGACTAAAGTCCAGTTTCAGGGAATTTACCTAAGATGCTCAGTAGGAATAGGCTATGGACATGAGTTGAAAGCATAGAGCTATTTTTACACAGATAATTCATATTTACTTAAAAGCAGTTTGCACCTCGTTTTATAATCAGGGATGGCAATGCAGGGGGAGATGCTTGAAATACACATAAATACTTTTAAACTCAGCTAAGGACAATTCCCCTTTTTGGATGTGCTACTTACCTGTATGTTTCTTGACTTGCAACACCACAGTCACTCCCATTCACTTGCTTGTTCATGATCCAAACTAGGTATGGTGCTTAACATTTTAATGTCTGTTCAACAGACCACTTCCTCTTAAGGGTTTGGGAAAGTAAGAAAGTAGACTGATAAAAACAAGATTATAAATCAAGAGCAAGGTTTTGCTGTCTCTCCTGCCTCTTCATTAAAACAAACCAAAGTCAGACCATTGTATTCTTAAAAAGAATTCCATAGTAGAGAATATTACTGTTTGTTTGCTACTTCTTACTAGGGGATAAATGCTTTCTCCCATTATAACTATATCACAAGAGGGGAATGAAGGAGGGGATGATTCATTCTCAAGACCCACGATGTAAATTTCAGAAGCAGCCTTTCAAAATAGTTATCTTGACTCTATTGTAACTCTCAGCATCCAAAGAGTTCATTTCTACGTTGGAATATCTTGAATTATTGTTTTTTGGTAATGCTTGACGTTTAGTAAATTATCTCAAATGTAAACTTAAAGGCAAAGTTTAAGCACACTCAGTTACTTTATATCAGACTATGTATATACAGGTCGTTCGTGGGTCTTGGGGGAAGTTCCTAAGCTTCCGCTAAGCATCTTCGAAGTCGTTTTGCCTGGATACCTGGAAAATTACTCCGCTTCTGTCCCCTCTCCTTTATAAACCAGATTGATAAACTGCCTCTTCAGTGAAGTTATAGATCATCTTCCCTTCATGTATCAAACAGGAGGAAGTAGAGGAAGGATCGGCGACAGCGCAAAAGGTGAGGCTTTCACCACTCGACTCTGGGGACACACCCATTTCTTAGGGAGACACCCGGCTCTTGGGACACCACCCGGCTCTTGGGGACAGCCAAATCTGTCCTTATCTTTCAAGTTGGTAGGAATGATCCCACGTACCACCTAAGTCGCCCATCTTGCGTGCCCCGCGCAGGATGCAGCTGCCAAAGCCCAGGGAACTTGGTGCACTGAAAAAAATGAACAAATGACAACCGTCAGCACGGACCTGTCACCACGGCTAAAGACCGCAGAGTGAAGGCAGCCTCGGCGCCGGGACCCGCCAGGGGCCGGCTGCAAGTTAAGGCCCTCTTACCGGGTAAGCCGCAGCGCCGTCTCCTTCAGCAGTTTAAATTCTCCGGCTTTAGAACCTTCCCCATCATTCCTCAAAATACCCTCCCACTTCTAGCCCCGCCTTGCTGCTGACTCTCAATGATTTTATTGCGGAGTTGTGCACAGGCGTAAAGAGGGGCGTGCGTTGCCTTCTGGGATTGGTCGTTGTTTTTCCGGGTGTTTTAGGCCCGGTAACGAAGGGAAAAGCAGGTTTCCCAGACTGTCAGGTTCTGTCACGGGGTGGGCGGTGAGAAAGGGTGGCGGTGGGTGAAGCTTGGGCCTTTAATCATTGATTTTGAAGCTTCGTGACAACCTGAGTGAGTCACCTCTCCTGGCGGAGGGGCGGAGCTCTGCACTCCACCCCGTGGCTGCTCCACGGCTGCACACGCCCCTCAAATCTTTTCCTCTCCGCCTCCCGTGTTTTTCCTGGGGGCCAGTTTAGGCCCCGCGCGTGTCCATGCAAAGTGGAAACGACTGCGGGGACCGTCCCTTTGCAAAGAGGCATAATCCTCGTCGCCATGTCTGGGGGTTTCGCGCTGCAGTCGCAGGATGGCGGTCCCCGGGTTGCCCTGGCGCCCGGGGAGACGGTGATCGGCCGTGGGCCGCTGCTGGGAGTAAGTGTGGCGCAGGTCGGCCAGAGTGTGCGGGGTCCTTGGCTGGTTCAGCGGGCCCCACTCCCGTCCTGGCCGGATTCCAACCACGCCGGAACTGTCTGTCCGCATATTACAAGTTTGGGGGCTGCACGTTTTCCAATCAACTTTAATCAACTCACAAACGTTTCTAAGGCTGTAATTAAACAGCACTGACTCGTATTATCATTAGAGTGTTTTCTAGGAGAGAGCAAAATATGGCGGCGGATTCAAACCCAGTCTTTTGGTATGGGCTCACGTACTAATTCGTACATATTAACATGTAAACAAAGCAAAAGTGCCCATTAAGTTTACTGGGAGAATAGTTGCCTCAGGGTTCAGGAGTTGGCTCATCGCCTGAGATGATTTATAGTAGTATCTCATCCCTGGCAGTAAAAAGTTGCCGACTTGTGCTTTTATCTTTTCAGTCTAATTTCTTTGAAGGTTTTGGCTTCTAGTGGACAGTGTGAGTCTCACTTTTATTGTAATAGTCTTTTTTTTTTTTAAAGATTTATTTATTTATGTATACTGAACCAAGGTACAGGCCAGAGGTGCAGGGGCAGTGAAAAGGTTCACCAGAGACAGAGTGGGAAGCAGAACAGGCCGACTTACTGAAGTACACGGCTGAGGGGAGCAGGGGGTGGGCCAGGAGAGGTCTGCTGTGCCATGTGGATCACCTCTGGGGTGGGTACCGAACTCATGCTGAGTGGCTTTAACCTCTTAATGCTGTACTTTAACCCGCTGTGCCACTGGGGAGGGCCTGTAATAGTCTTTTAAAGTAATATCGGTTGCAAACACTTATCAAGTGTTCCGGACATTGGTCTAAGGACTTGACTTACATCAACTTCTTAAAATATTTTCAAAACCCTTTGATTTGAGTGCTGTACTACCTTCACTGTTGTTATGAGAAAATTCAGCCATAGAGTCATTTTTTGAAGAGCATACATAAAGCGATGAAACACGTAATGCCACTAAATTACAAATTCTCCACCTTCTTCTGTATGTCTAGAAGTAACAAATTTGGCCTGCTTTCTGGCATTCTGTAGCGCTCTTTCTCAGTACATATTGTTCTCATAACACTTGGCATTTCTTATCTGGTGGCTACTTTGTGTGGCACCTTTTGCAGACCTTGGCACTGGGTGGTGTACAAAGGTGAACGAGACCTGGGCCTCTACCCTCTAGAAGTTATCTCATGGACTGTCCACACAAACTTGTCTGTGAGGTAGTATCTTATGGATGGAATGTTATCCAGGCTAATTAGTGTCTCAGTGGAGTCACTACTATAGGCTTAGGTATCTTTTCCAGGCAGGGAAATGAGTGGTAGTTCAAGGTTCAAGGTTCAAGAGATAGGGAAGTCAGCCCTGGGAGGTGGGTGGGGCATGTGTTTATATATACACACGTAGTAAGAATAGTGAGAATGTTAGTTCTTTTTTTTTTTTTTCAATTGGGCAAGTAATCACTTACATGTTTAAATAACATCCTGTTACTTCACACTTTATTAACCCAATGAACATTTGAAAGAACTGCCTTGTAGGGTTCCTTTCTCTTAATATCCAATATAGAAACCCAACGGAGTATTTACTTCATTTAGAAATGTCTGGTGACTAATTAATTTTGATTTGCTTAACAAGCTCCCTTACTAAGACTGAGTACAGTGGATCTGGCAAAAAGATGGATGAATTTGTTAGGCCTGTGTTTTATATACATGACAGTAGGTTGCAGACTCATTATTTGTTTGATCTTTGTGTTATGGACTTGCTATTGTGACTGTTGTGAGATGAGCCTATTGAATTCTGTTTTTGAAAATGCTAAGGAGTAGAAACTTTGTTATGTGGTGAGGATGTCACCTTTTCAAGTGATCATTCAGTGATGAGATTCCGTTGCCAAGTTTAGCGGATAATAGGTCTGGTTATGAATGATATCTAAAATGTGTTGAAGGAAACAACTGAAGAAAAAGTAAATAATCTTGTTTTTGAGATTTTAAGCTTTTAGGTGTTTAAGATTTTAGAGCTCACAGATGCATGTTTCTTTTCTGCAGTGGTTAAACTCAACATAAGGGCATCTGTTTTAGACAACAGCAATTTTAGTGAAGTTTTTGTTTGTTTGTTTTAAAGATTTATTTATTTATGCATACAGAACTGGGATATAGGCCAGAGGTGAGGGGTGGTGAGAGGCTTCACCAGAGACAGAGTGCGAAGCAGAGCAGGCTGACTGACAAAGTACACTGCTGAGGGGAGCAGCCAGTGGGTGAGGAGAGGTCTGCAGCACCATGTGGGTCACCTCCAGGAGTGGGGATTGAACTCAGGCTGAAGTGGCTTTAGCATCTTAATGCTGTGATTTCACCTGCTGCACCACCAGGGAAGGCTTGTGTTATATATGTATGCATGCATGTATGCATACGGAGCTGGGGTAGAAGGGCCAGAGGTGCAGAGGCTATAAGAGGATTCACTAGAGACAGAGTAGGGAGCAGAACAGGCCAACAGATGAAGTACACTGCTGAGGGGAGCAACCAGCAGGTCAGGAGAGGCCTGCCAAGACATGTGGGCCACCCCTGGGGTGGGGATCAAACTCATGCTGAAGTGACTTTAGCTTCTCAGTGCTGTGATTTAACCCACTGCACCACCAGGGAGGGCCCGTTTAGTTTTTTTTTTTTATATTTTATAACAGTTCGTTTATTTGTTTTTTAATGTAAGCGAGCAAAGATGTAATTCCAAGTTGGAAAACTTAGAAATTCATTGTAAATTTATATCAATCTGAAATAAATATTAATGAGGAGTTTTGAACTCCCTTATTTAACCAGCCTTATTTTTCTGAGACAAGTTTCACAAACCTCTGTAGCCACACAAGCACAAAGGTTTATAATTTTAGAGTGGGATACAGTCTTGAGACTGAACCAGTTTGACAAAACTGTTTTTTTTTTTTACAAAAATACAGAATATTTTTGGAGAACAAAGCTCAGTAGAGTTTAATTTTTTTTTTTTTATGCCTTTGGGCTTAGTGTGAGTCATTACCAAGTCTGCTGTCCTGTAGTTTATAATTGTTTCATGATCTGCAGCAACTACAAAGTTTTGCAATGATGACTCATCAGGGAATTATCCTGAGTGAAAATAGTCATTTTTGCAGATTATTTAAATGTCATTACATGTATACAACATTTATTGAAATGACAAAATTATAAAAATGGGGAACATAGTTAGAAGTTGGGATTAAAAAAGGGAAAGGGAGCAGTAGGTCTACAAAAGAGCAACATGAGGGATTTTTGTGGGAACGGAAATGTTTTGTGTATCAACTGTCTCAACATCAATATCTGATTGTTATACTATACTAGTGTAGCAAAATGTTATGACTGGGGGAAGCAGGGTAAATAGTACAAAGTATCTTTATTAAATTTTTCATCTATCTACAACTATCTGAATGAAAACATACTGACAAAAAGGTTTACAGGTCAACTTCTCAAGCAACAGAGTGCCTTTCAATGATTTGATTTATGTTTTTCTTTAGTTAAAGGTGATTATGCTCTTAAATGAAGATTTTCTGATTTCAAATTTACCTTGTTCATTTGATAGCTGGCTGAGGTTACACAATATATTCCTTTATGATCTATTTTCTGCTAAAAAGTAGGATAGTAAAGGTTATTTAGTGAGAATTAAATGCAGGTGTAATTGAACAGGCTCCTTTAAATAAAAAGAGAAGAGGCCCTTTGTGGGGATGAGTTAGCTAGGAGCCCTGCTCTGGACTCCTCACCAGGCATCAGTTCACCACTTCTAAGAAAGCTGTAAGTGTCTCACAAAATTTGCACAAAGTTACCACTCAGAGCTGACAACTCTGTACTCTTCCTATTCCTTGAGCAATCCTACTTGCAGCCCTAATTAGTCCAACACAGGTTTCTTCCTAGCTACCTCCTCTTTGACCCCTGGAAGGGGACATGCTTGGGTTTTGCCCACACTCAATAATAGTAAAATGCTTGGCACATAGTGGATTTTCAACACATGATCTTTTCTTTCCTATTCAGTCTTTCACTCTTCCAGCACTCATAAAATGGTGACATGAACGTAGGTGTAAAAAGGCCATCATAGTTTTGAAGTCAATTTAAATATAGTAAAGAGGCAGTGCTACTATCTGCTTAAGCTTAAGTAGTAACATTCATGATGAATTAAGTGTACAGTTTTTCTTATTTTGTGACTAATAATAAATTCAGAGAATAGTTGATGAAATATACTACGGTCATATGGAGGAGAGAAAAGAGAAGTCCTTTCCTCCAAGAAACAGTTTAGTAGGTCTGTTTCCCATTAAGTTTTCACCTGAAAGTTAACATCAACTGATCCTTTATGGTTATTACATTGGCAGCAGCCACCTGACTCTTTTTCCAACTTATGCCCTGAAGCTTGAGCTACATTTGGTGTTTCTTTTCCTTCTTACATGTAGCCAAGTTTGTGGTATGCTTTTTCTCTTAGTTGCACTTTAGATACAGGATGTAGGTATTTTCTTTGCTCTATTTGTTTAGTTTTTGGAGGATATGAGGTATGGTTAGAATTTAGGTGATGACAATTATTCTCTAGGAAGCTGAAATTCCTTAATTTTTTAACTATTATTATGTCTAAAATGTGAATGTCTGATTTTGTGAAGTTTTCATTTAAACCTCATGACTCCTGGTAGTCCAATAAAGATACTTTGGTAAGCCTTTAGTATTTTTTGAAGTATGTTATACCATTTTTACTATTCTCACTAGCCTCTAGCCAGTATATTCTTGGGTTCTTTGTTTTTCTATAGCGTTTCTCTTTTCACTTGCAGTCCAATACCAATCATCCTGCCACTCATACCTCTTAATGTGTGAAGAGCAAAGGTGTCTTTTGACTCAGATTGCTTAGGTTCCAATCATAGTCCCAGTCCTGCTGTTTATAGGCTGTGTAAATAGTTACATAACCTCTTTGTCCTCCCATTTCTCATCTATAAATAAATATAGTAGTGTCTTTTACATAGATTTTGTGGTGACTAAAAAGATGATACATGATAGGCATGAAACAGGACCTTGATTTGATAAATCATCACTGTTATATTTAAATCAAATGTATGAATATTTACTCTGTACAAAGAAAACGGTCAGCTGTTAAATAAAGGAGGTCATATGCTCTTGAGGATAATCAATTTGTGATCTACCCCCAATTCCATGTTCTTCCATTTTCTACCACCATGAAATTAATCTTTAATGATAATCTGTTAAAGTTTTATACTTTCCATTGAAGAAAAAAATTATTATTTTGTAATCTATTCATTATTTAGAGGTTTTTTTTTAAAGGAACAACTAAATACCTGAATGATGTTAATTTCAAAGGCCCTTTAAAAAACTTTTTTGGTTCTCTTACAGAGACCTGCAGCTTGCAATGATATTGTACTGTTGTACATTCATGTGTCCACTAGAGGTCACTTTATACACATTATCTCAATCCAGTAAATTATTCAACTTTTTTCTTTTTTTGCTAGCATAAGCGCAACCTATTTCAAAGAAAGACTGACAGGAGAAAAAGCACATTATTGCCTCCTGCAAAAACAAGTTTAAAAAAGAAAAAAACCCAAGCTGGGCTATTACAGGAATCATCATTAATGTGTCCTGGTTTTATATTTGCAGATTATTGTTCTGGTTTAGAAAATTGATTTATATTATTAAAACTAACAAGGAGATTTTAGTGCCTGTTAGAAATAGAGATACCTTTTATTCCTAGCCACAGGATAATTTGCATTTCTTGAAGCTATTTCAGAGTGATTACATTTAGTTGTAGAGTCATCTATGAATATTTTCTTGCTATGTTTATTTTTATTTATTGATTTGGAGTACTACCTATTCTAAAAGTGACCTATACATTTACCTAAATACTTTGGACTTGGAATTTCCAAGTGTGCAAAATATGAATAATAGCTTTGACAGTGTCTTTTTGAGTCTCAATGCTTATGTGAAACTTATGCAAAATAATACAATCTATGCAAATGCTGGAGTAAGTTATAAGATAACTGCTGTTTTGTTTGACCCAGAAAGGCGTATTAGGGACAGAATATAGGAATCTCCAAATTTCTGTCTTCTCTTATCTGACAGTATTGATTATTAATTTATATGTACTTTTCTGATATAGCCATTGTGGCTAATATTAAATGTTTTTTAGATGAATTACCTTTAACTTGATTTTCTAAAATATTCTGACTATGTGGAAAATTCACATATGTGGAATTCATTCTGCTGTGGCACTTGATGTTATTATTTTTATATAGCCACAATCTAAAGTGTGGAACTACTATGGTTAAAAAAATGAGTACTGATTCCTGGAAGTGTTACATTTTTGCAGAACTAATGGGTTTAATTGAATTTGGGCATTACTGTCATCTGCTTTTACAGATGATTTTGGTCCTGATGTGGCTAATAAGTATCTGAGTTGAAATGATAGCTACCAAGAGATGGACCACATAATTGTAGTATAGGGTGGAGTTGGTGCTTAAAATATTTTCATTATGTATCAACCTCAGATTGCATAGGTAATCTTACTATTGTATTTACAGCCATGCAGAATTGTCCTGACAGGCATTTTCAGCAGTAAAAGTGCAAACAGTGTCTAAACTTTGGTGTGTGGATATGATAGTGAGCATAAGTAGAAAACAGCTAAAATAGGAAGCAAGTGTATAAAAAAAGGTGATAATCTCTTTTTCACTGTCAGTATTTGTTTTTCATTGCATCTCCTCCCACCCTCCTGTTCCCTTTATTACTGCTGGTGGCCCTAGTGTTCAATGCAGGTCTCCCTGACCTGGGTCTGTTTGTAGTCACAAGCCTGTAGTCACACATTTTATATTTACCACATACTGCTTTTCAAATCCTTTGCATTATAGCATACTATGTATTTCCTGCATTTGAAATGTTTTCTACTAAGAATTTATTATAAAGATTTCTTCCTCATTTTATGCATTTTATTTATCAGAACCCCCGCTAAGTGTTAGGCCTTAGGATCTTTAGTTTCCAGCTTTGGGTCTCTGTTCTACCATTTATCTGTGATTTGGGGCAGTCCCTTAATGTCTGGGTTGTTTCCTATCTGTCCAAAGAGGATAGTCAATTCAATATAGTTGTTGTGACCTTGTGGTACAGTGGTGGTGCCTCTGACTCCAGGCCAGAGATTGCATGTTCTGTGGTCAGTTGTTGAATGAACAATATATTTCATATCTTGCCTACTAATTTTAGAAACACTGCTATGGGTATTTTGCTTGTTTGTTGTTTAGAGAAATTTTTAATTTTTTTTTTTTTTGCAGATTACAGACAAAAGAGTGTCCAGAAGACATGCGATTCTTGAGGTGGTGGGTGGTCAGCTTAGAATTAAACCGGTAAATATGTTATTCATGCTTTATTTTAACATTTTGTTTCTCACTTTTTTCCAGTTCTTAATTAGAGAAGCTTATTTTCTAAGACCATGGAAATAGAAATTAATGACAGAATATATCCTTCTTATTGCCAGAAGATAATTAGGAGATATTTAAACTGCCTATTTTTCCATAGAGCAATTCTTATATAATTAGACTTTTAATGAAAGATGACTATCAGATCATGCTTACATTATGATCTATTTATTCATAACTGAATATTAAAAATAAGATCTTATGGGCCCAGCCTGGTGGTGCAGTCAGTTAAAGCACAGCACTAAGAAGTTAAAGCCACTTCAGCATGAGTTCAATCCCTGCCCTGGGGGTGATCCACATGGTGCAGCAGACCTCTCCTCACCCTCCCACTACTCCCTTTAGCAGTATACTTCTTCCATCTGCCTGTTTTGTTCACTCTGTCTCTGGTGAAGCCTCTCACCTCAGGCCTGTACCCAGTTCTGTATGCATAAATAAATAAATCTTAAAAAAAAAAAAAGCAGAAACTGTAAAAGAAAGATATAAAAAAGCCAATTACTTGAAGATTAAGAACATTTTCTTATCAAAAGTCATTAAAATAAAAATGGAAAATGCAATAGAGAGAAGCTTTTTTTTTTTTTTAAAGATTTATTTATTTATTCATACAGAACTGGGGAACAGGCCAGAGATGTAGAGGGTGAAAGGATTCACCAGAGACAGAGCTGGGAGCAGAACAGGCAGATGTACTGAAATACACTGCTGAGGGGAGCAGCAGGCGGGACAGGAGAGGTCTGCCACGCCATGTGGTCACCTCCGGGGCAGGCTGGGATCGAACTCATGCTGAAGTGGCTTAAACTCATGCTGAAGTGGCTTAAGCTTCTAAGTGCTGTGCTTTAACCCGCTGCGCCACCAGGGAGGGCCCAGAGAGAAGCTTTTTAATACACACAATTGACAAAGAAATGAAATCCAATATAAATAGCAAATGCTTTCAATCAAGCGTTTTAACATAATTAATATAATAGTCCCTTCTGCAATCTGTGTACTTTCCCAAATTATGTTTAAGCCATTAAATGTTTTTTGCTTTTCTTTCAACTTGGAAATCCAAGCATATTCTCAAATTAAAAGTGCCTTTGACAATCATAGAGGATGAAATTAGGGCAATTTCTAATTTGGACCCTTTTATTTTTTTATGCACTCAAGAACTGGATATAGGCTAGAGGTATGGAGGTGGGTGAGAGGATTCACCAGAGACAAAGTGGGAAGCAGAACAGACTGACTGACAGAAATAGACTGCTAAGGAGAGCATCTGGAAGCAGGAGAGGTCTGCTGTACCATGTGGGCCAGCTACCTGGCCAGGTATTGAACCCAGACTACAGTGGCTGTGGATTGCTTCATAGTGCTGAGATTTAACCCCTTGTACTACCAGGGAGGCCCTCTAATCTGGACACTTAATGGTATTAATTTGTTTTTTCTCTCTAATATTTCACTTTAAAAAGATTCCATCTCTCAGCAGTACTTGGAGATAGTGCATGAGGAGATAATGTTAGCTCATGATGTGATGATGTTGGCCTTTTTGTGATATCAGCAGGGAGAAAATGCATTATCAGGGTTAACTGTCCTTGTTCTCTGTAAATGAGTCTATCACCAGTGGTTTGGTTGTGTCCTCAGGGCGAGTTTAATGCTTTTTATTTCATTATAATAAAATATCTTTGGATTTTAGATGATTCAGGAAGTAGTTTTATAACTACATATAAATTACAAAAGATTTTTCTTTTTTGGCAATTATTGTCAAAAGATATATCTTTGGGTGGTTGTGTTTTTTGATCAAAAATAAAATTTCTGATTTGTAACTGCCTTCCTTCCCATGAAAGTGGAAATAACTGTAAGATACTACAATAGCTTTTCCACACGTCATTTTGTGGAGGAAAACAAAGTGCTTTTTACAAAGAAGAAACTAGAAATAAGAGGAACCTTTTTTGGGGGTATACATTAACCTTTTTAAAAATATTTAATAGCTCCAAGTGAAAGCTATAGAAAATTGATTTCTGTTTTAGTGCCATTTTTTAGGGATAGTGCATTCTTGTACGACTTCTAAAATTACAGAGTAATCTATTGAAATTAGCTTTTGTAATATTACAAATATGTTACAAGGCACACCAATAGTAAACCTGTGTTTAGGTAACCTTATCTATTGTTCACTGTGGATTTGAGTTAGTTGGTATTTTAACTATCCCTGACAATTTTTAGAATCAAAGTTAAACTAACCTCATTTAAGTACCTTCCATCTTTTCCTGATATTGGCAGAAGTTTGAATATTCAGAAGAATCTTTAAATTTATTTTTAGGAGAGATTGGAAAGATTTTTTTTTAAAGATGTACTTATGCATACAAGAGCTGGGTACAGGCCAGAGGTGCAGGGGGTTGAGAGGATTCATCAGAGACAGAGTGGGGAGCAGAACAGGCAGATCTATTGATATCCATAGCTGAGGGGAGCAGTAGGGGACACAGAAGAGGTCTGCTGAGCCCATGTGGATTAGCTCCCTGGACAGGGATCCAGCTGGTACAGAAGTGGCTATAGATTGCTTCTTAGTGCTGCAACTTAACGCCTTGTGCCACTAGGGAGGCCCCTGGAAAGACTTAATTATTGCTTATATTTTTAAAATATAGGTTTTATTCAGGCTTCTTTCCATATTTAAATACTTTTGAACAAGCTGGGTACCCACAGGCACATACATACATACCATATAAATATGTATTTTTTTCCAGTTTGGCATATATCCTTTAAGATTATTGTCAGTTTGGGCTATATTGACATATACATAGGTAAAATGTATTTGTAATATTCTGTTGTTTTTTAAGTTTTGTTTTATGTGCATTTATATAGCTGTTTTTGTTCCAGTTTTTTGTGTGTATGTCTTCTGTTTTGTTTATTAATATTGCTACCGATTACTTTAAAATCTTCCTTTTGTACTTAATGTATGTGCAGCTTTTTAGCTGGGAAATACATAGCTTGTAAGATTTAAAAAAATTGAAAGTATTATCTCTTTAGATGTAAATAATAGGATCAGATGTTAAATTTCTTCTAATACCATTTTTTCCTCTTAGAATCTTGAATACCTTGTATGAACAAAGTTAGGAAAAGACAAAGGTGATCACAAATCATATAGTTAGTCCACTTTTTAGTGGATTTAGGATTTGCTAAATGTCTAATATTTAACCATCTAAAATGTCAATGTTAATTACTTTCAGCTGAGGAAAAAAATACTGAACTGAATGTTTCTTTAATTTTGGGGTTTTGATGCCTTTTTAAAGACATGTGATTAGTTTCCTGATGTATTTTGCCTTTCCTATTCTTAAATTTTATGCTTTTTTATTAAGCATCTTAATCTTTATAAATTTAAGTCTAGGTCATTATTTAATGTTGCTTAAGGAGTCATCTGAATCTTAAAAAGATTCATGGAATTACCTACATCTGCAATAATTCAACTTCATTTCCAGAATATTTAGAAATCAGGCAGAAACTGTATTCCTGATTTGCAGCATTCCTGACTCTGGTGACCCTGATCTACTCAAGGACTAGGAGGTTCACTTAAAAGACAGAGACTTAAAACCAAGGGAAAGATTTCCAAGTGTGTCATGTACTCAAGTTCAGCACCCCTTCGTTAAGCATACTGTTTGGACAATTTAGCTTTACAGGAGAGGCTTTTGATGTCTGTAGAAACAGGATTGAAACTATGAAGTAGATTGGGTGGGTGTGTGGTGGGGGGAGTTGATCTATGTGAGATTCCATTAAAAACCCACAGATCTGTTTTAGTGTAGTTAGCTTTTTTATGTGCTAAAGTATATTTATTTTAAAAATTGAGTGATAATGATGACAAAAAGGCAGTTGACCTTTCAAAATGGATCAAATTGGGCTTCTTAAGGTGCCTTTCTATAGGTGTTAGTTAAAGAGATGACTATCATTATTTTTGCTAACATGGAGGGAGTCTGTGGCAAACATAAAACAGTGGATATTGAAGTTGAATTATATTTAGTACTAGAAATTTGAATATCAATAATGATCTCATATGGTAGTTTCAAACAAAATAAGATCTCTCTGTGAAGAGCTAAGAAGCTGTGTTGTTTGCTTGAAAGATTTGATCAAAATCTCCTGGTCTGTAGTTTCTCATTTTTGAATAAGAGAAATTATTTGGTCAAAATAAGTGGAAAAGAAGCAAGCCAATTCCAGAGGATTAACACATTTTAAACTAATGAAAGTTGGGGTACAGTTTCCATACTGAGAATTATTTTTTGTGTTTCTCTTTCCAATGTACAGAAGTATCTTGTAACCAGTAAATTAATAACTGCTTTTCCCTGTTATTCCTAGAGGAAATGGGAAGTAGAGCTTTTTCCTTTTTTTGGGTATAGTATGACATTTATAGATACCAGATTTATTACGTTTTTGAGTCATGTAATGAATTATTTTTAAATTGTTTTGCTATTGAAATTGGAATTAGTTTATATTTAGTTACATTTCTGTCATAAATTTGAACTACAGAGTCACTATATTCTTTTTATATTTTCTAGATACACACAAATCCATGTTTTTATCAGTCTTCCGAGAAGAGCCAGCTCTTACCATTGAAGACAAATTTATGGCACTGGTTGAATCCTGGGGATAGGTTTTCTTTGTTAGCCAACAAATACATATTCTGTGTTTTTTCTACACACTCTGAAACACAAATGGAATGTACTTTAAGGTAAGATTGCCTGATAAAAAGTGATTAAGTAATAGGTATTTTTATTTAATTCTCCAGCTATCCACAAATGCTTCAGTGGAAATTAAGCTAAAATTAAACTTCATTGGTGACAAGAATTACAGGTTGTGTGCTTATGTATGTATTTCTAGAAAACAGTTGTCTTTACTAGAATTAGATATATTTCCAAGCTTTTAATTTTATTTCAAAAATTCTGGAAATAGTGCATTATAAATCATGTGAAGATGCTTATAGAAGTATTTGAAGATAAGTTAAACATACATCAGTTAAAAAATACATAAGTTGGCCATCCCTGGTGGAGCAACGGGCTAAGGCACAGCACTGAGAAGCTTGGTGTAGCTGGTTCAGTGCGAGTTCGATCCTGGGCCAGGTCCCTGATCTACATGGCGTGGCAGAACTCTTCTGACCCGCCTGCTGCTCCCCTCAGCAGTATACTTTGTCCATATGCCTGTTCTGCTTCCTGCTCTGCCTCTGGTGAGTCTTCTCACCGCTCCTGCACCTCTGGCCAGTCCTCCAGTTCTGTATGCATAAATAAATAAATCTTAAAAAAAACCCAACACATTAAAAATACACAGTTTAACAGTGTTTATATTTAAATAAAGGTGTAATAGAATACTTTGTTCTTGATTAGAACTGAATGCTAAGTAAAATTTTGTTCTGGAATTGTATTTTTTATTGTTACATTTATTCTAGATAAGTATTAGTAAAAAATTACCTATGGAGAGAATTTTATGACAGTGAGCAGTACAATGAATAATATAATGAGCAAGAGGTGAAAAACATGTACTATTGTATGTATTTTATTCTAGTATACTATAATTGCTTTTTTGGGTCTTGGTAAGTCCTAGAAAAGGAGCACAACTCAGTTCAATGTACTTTTGAGAATCACATTTGTAATTTACCTAGTAGGGAACAGAAATTTCTTAAATTTAAATGATTATTAAATAAGTTTTTAATTTATTTCATAGAAACAGTCAAATGCTTGATGAAGATGTTATTTTGAATGAAATACCAACATCTTCCCTGATGAATTTGCCTGATGAGACAGTGAGTGCCCCACAATGGGAAAGAAGCCCAGAAATAGCTGAGGCCCAGACTGCTATGGCAAATAGTGTGGTGAGAAATTTGAGGTCGCATTCATTTATACGCTATTCCTTGTTTTGTGGGAAAAGGAAACCTGAAATTCTGCATATGATGATAATGATAATATTTTTAGCATTGTGATTTTTAAGCCAGCTTTAGAGACTATCACACTAGCCCATCAATTCAACTAACAATTAAGATAATAAATTTCTCTTAGAAAAATTTAGCTCAGTCAGCAATTGTAGATATTTACTGGTTTTTGCAAAGTAACAATTTTGCAATTTCATTAAGGCTGCATGATAAGTCTTAGTAATTAATATGTAAGTACTTTTTTAGTCTTTCCTAGGTGAATGTACAAATTTTAGTAAACAACAGCCAAACCCTGGCCAGAGGAAAAGAATCCTTCCAGCATGGATGTTAACAGAAAATCTGAGTGATCAGAATCTTCCAGCATCAGTCATTAGTGAAGGTGGGTTTTATTTCAAGAAAACATTAAACAAACATTGAAAGTTTTTCTGAATAATTGAAGGTAGTGCAGTAGTTGTAAAATAGAGAACTTAATTTCTCTTTTAGATGTTTACATGAAGTCTCATTTAAAGCATACACTATTTTTATGCCATTTGTCAAACACCATCCTGTTAACAAGTGTCATTTATCTTATTGCTAGACTTGCCATGTTAATGTAAATTTGCAAACATGCCAGTTGGTGTCATGTCTAAGATAAAAGGGCAGCCAGATAAGAGCTTTCTAAATTCATTTGATTAAATTTTTTAAAAGTGACCAGCATACAGTCTTAATGGGCTGAGGGATACAAAGAAGTGATCTCTGTCCTAGCACACACAATGATATCACAATGATTTATGTCATCTATTGTATATTCCTACTCATTCAAGACTATTAAAATGTTTGCTTAGTTGTCTTGTGTAGTTAGTGTTTTATTTGCAGCCTTCCAGTTATCTCAGGTTTAGTTTCTGTTAACTGCTTTTTTTTTTTTTAATATGGGTCTCATTTTCCTTTTTCTCATATTTAGTGATTTATTATTGGACCTTGGATAGTTATGAATGATATATTATAGAGATTTTTAAAAGTTTTCTGTTCCTATAAATAAATACTATTTTTCTAACAAATAATTTTGTCCACTAGACAGACATGTGATTTTCTTCTAACACACAATTAAATTGTACCCTAAACAGTTTCCTCTATAGCTTACAGCTGCTGTTTTTTCTTTGGCTTCCTGAATTTTTCACCATGCATATGTGGTTTATCAGGCAGCAAATAATTGGGGGGTATTTTATGGTAGATTTTGGTTATTTGACCCTGTAAGTCTTCTTTCTCTCATGGTATTCTTTTCCCTAAGTAGCTCTGCAAGCCTCATACTCTGTCTTCTGGCCAGTTAAGCTACTGAGACTGCGAGAGTATCATTATCCTTAATGAAATTGTAAAATTATTTTCTTTGCAGAAAACTACCAGTAAACTCACAAATCCACAGACGTTATAAGTTGTAGTTAATTTTTCAAGGTTAGATTCTTTTTCAGTTTAGTCTTGTTGGTCACTGTCTAGTGCCTTCAAGTAGTTACTTTTTTATATTTTATCCAGAATTTATAGTAGTTTGGTATTACTACTATTCCCTTACCCTGAACATTATGTTTACCCTGCTTACCCTGACATTATTTTTATAAATTTACATCACAGTGATATATTTAACAAAATCCCTTTTGTATTCAACATAATGGTCAGTTTTCTAAAATTTTTAATCAAATACCTAAATATAGATGAATTTCTTATTTGATGCTACTTTGGATTATAGTAGGATCAGAATGATTTAGCACATCATATATAATTGCTTCAATCGGGAGAGTTTTCATATCTAAATCTAAGATTTCCTGCTCAGAGTTATTTTGGTCAAATGGTTTCTATCCCTTCCACTCCTACTATACATTTATGATATACTTTATGATACACTAGTTTTCATTGTATGTGGCGATCTATGACCTGCAGAAAGGACATGAGAGATGGTAATGGAGAGGGGCACTTTCCCTCAGTAGCATGTTTTCTCTACTAAGAAAGAATAACTGTCTTGACCAAATATTGGGCCAATGTAACTGCCTCCCTGTGAACAGGTTCTTTTCTTTCAATTTGTTTTGTATTGTAACTTCTCTGTGCTGCCACTATTATATTACATTTAATAGTTGAAAATATGTTTTGCTTCAAATTATAAGTAATATTAACTTTAACATGATATATATACCATATAAAGTGTCAGGTAAATTTTGAACATTTCACATTGAAAGTACAAATAAGAGTAATTTGACAATGGTTTGCACTGGACTAGTGTATGATTAGTTATGATTTAATATAATTATTTATGATTTAATTATAATTATTATGATTTAATGTAATTAAAATGCAAAAGCTGCAAAATAGGAAAGGGTCTTTGTATTCTTAAAAATTTAGACTTTAGAGGGGTACTTATAAGAGCAAAGTCAGTTTACTTAATTCCTTTAAAGACAAAAGATTTACAAATTTAGTACATGAATCCAACTAATTAAAGTTTGGAATAATTGTACTTTTTTTTGCTGTGTAGTTTTGAAAAAAATTATTGCTGTTTTGTTTAAGTACTGTATCATCCAGATCAATAGATCAATATTAGAGATTTTTAAAAATCAATTTCCAGGATGCATTTTAGACACATTTAGATGTATCTTATTCTGTTATATTTGTGCAGCTTTAGTATGTGTTCATTGGTGTTTGTTTAGATTATCTGGAGCCAACCATATTTTGGAAGATTCTATGTCCTTAGGCTAGGAAAGATAATATTAATTAATGTTCAATGACTTACGCGTGCCACATAATTAATGGCAGACCTGTAATTGAGACCTGCTTTGTGGGGCTCTAAAGCCCATGGTCAGAACCATGTCACTTAAATTTACCCTCTCTCTGTTCTGGTAGTTTTGTTTTTTTCCTCTTTAAATATTTTCTTGCGTTCTCTCCTCGAACTGTTCTTAGTTTAACTCTTGGTTTAGTCTTTAAACATATGTGAATATTTTCTATGATCAAGCTGTTTTTTCTGTTTTTCAGCTAGTACAGTTCAAGTTTATTTTATTTTCTGGGCCTCCCGTGCTAGTCTTTGTATGTTACCATGTTTCTCAGGCCGGGTTATGTCCTTTAATGATCTGGGAGTGAAAGTATCTATCAGAATCTCCCTTCTCTTAGCTTCCAATTCTATATTCCTTCAAACTTGTAGATCCCAGGATATGTCAATTCCTACATTATCACCCTCTTGCTAGATGGGAAAAGGGGGCTTTTGTGATTTTACTGACATCATGCTACTCTGTGGCACTCTTCTCCCCACCTTCTAACCCTCCAACATGGAGTCATGGGAAGTGGTGGTAGAGACCAAAGCAGTATCCAAACTGTTTGGTCAACTTTTACATTTTTACTTTAAATATTTTCTGTATGACAATGCAGTGCAAGACTATAAGTGTTAAACTTAAGAGTTTTGAACTTTAGTTAAAAATTTACTTAAAGCACTAGTGTTCCTATATATTTAGTTTATTTCCAGCAACCCTGCTAACAATTGTCCAGTTCTAACAATTTTGAGCCTCTTGAATTTAATAGCTATACAGTTGAATTACTGTAATTTTTACTTTTCTGATCTACTGCTTTTTAGGTTTTTTAATCATTTTTATTTCATGAACTAGACTTTGCAATTTTATTATTAAAGTTTTATTTGTATTCATTTATGCATGGAAGAAATGGGATATAAGGCAGAGGTGCAGGGGTAGGTGGGTGAGAGGATTCACCAGAGGCAGAGTGGGGAGCAGGACAGGTGAATCTACTGAAATACACTGCTGACAGGAGCAGTGGTACAGATAGGAGAGATCTGTACCTTTTAAATGAAAATTGATAAAACTGGTCTATGTCTTATTCCTGATTTTAGTGGTAATTCACTTAGTGTTTTGGCATTTAATATGACCAGTATAGGTAAAGTTTGATTCCCTTAAATATTTAAAATTTTTTTGAATAAATTGTTGACTTTCTTGAAAACATGTTTTGCAATTTTACGTTTTAATGTAATTAACGATGTTGGTACATGATGGCTTATTTTTATTTTCTATTAGATTAGATTTTCCAATATTTATGACTTTTGTATCTATATGGATTAGTATGGTTATTATTTTTCTCAATTATGACATTTGGTTTGATATTAGTGTTAGAGCTATGCCAGGATTGTATAAAAATGAATTAGTAGGTTTTCTGTATATACTCAAGAACAGTTTGAATAACAAATAATGTGTTTCATTATAGGACTTTGTAATATCACAATCTAGGCTTACTTTTGTAGTTGATAGTTCTAGCATAAGAGTAGGTAAGTTAGTCCAATAAAAAAGAGACATCCAGAAACAGATCAAATAATGTACATTTAATATATAGAATGTGAGTGGTTCAAATTGTCAGGGAAAGGATGCATTACTATTATAAATGATACTGGGAAAATCAGCTTTCTATGTGCAAAAAAATAATATTAGAAAACCACTTTATACCATATTCATAAATGTCTATTGAATTAAAAATCTCAATGTAAAAATTAAAGTTATTAACATTTAAAGAGAATATTTTTATTCTTTCTGGTTGGTGTTCTTAAATGATAAGGAGCCTTAGAACCATAGATAAAAATTGACTGATCAGTCTAGATTAAAAATGAAAAAAGTATTTGTGTGGAAAAGGCACAATAAACAAGGTGAGAGGCAAATAAAAGGCTGACAAAAATAGTGGGAGATATTATCTCCCATATTTGTAGAGGAATATTTTTAATACATGTCTACTTAGTAACAAAAGAGAAAAAATTTTATGTATTGATATGCTACAGAAGAAAAATACAAATAGTAAATATCTATTACAAAATAGGAAAATGTAAATTGAAACAATTAGATAGCTGTTTGCTTATTAAACTTATCAAAATCTAAGTAACTTATAATATGTAATGCTGACAGAATGGTGGAAGTATAAACTGGCATAGCCTTTTAAAGTTATTTTCTACTATCTCTCAAGTGTTTACATATACAATAAAAATTTGATTCAGAAATTCTAATTTGGAGATATTGATTCCACAAAAATAATAACATTTATACATTTAGTCCTATGGAAATAATTTTCTACTTTCTTTTTTTATTTTTATTTTCCACTGTGTGTGTTTAAGGTAATAATATCATTCAAGAAAGTGGAAAAAGGGGAATCTGCAAAAATAAAACGCAAGGAAACCTAGCACAGCAAAGAAGAAAGCTATTCATTTCATCAGAAAGTTCAGAAGGCACATCAGCAGAGCAAGACACAGGGCAACAATGCAGAGATGTTGATCAGGAGGAGTCTGTCATTTCATCAAAGGTGATATTTTAAAAAATTCATTTTCTGATTGTTTCTTTGCCAAGTGTTAGAGATAGGAATTAATTATATGGTATATACAACAAAGCCAAAACTGCTTTTTATCATTTGTGTTCATGAAAATAATAACTAAAACATTTCTTTTGGCTTACTGAAACTAATTTTTAATAATGCTTCATGTGTAGGAAAGAAAACTACTTAATCTAGATCAATACAGTCAGGTAAAAAGTGTCTTGACTCTGGTCAAATTATGGTACCCCTGGTTTGAAATCCTGGTATCTTCTATTCTATCGGCATTGCATTTTTCTTGAAAGCACATAATCACATTTTTTCTCAGTAACTTTGAAGAAAACAACTACTGATAGACTTACCTGTTGCAGGATTACTTCTGAGCTGATAAACAGTATTTATAAACATTTTATTTCTTCATTCACTTTTTACCAGCTCACTGGAATAGTTTGGCTGTAGTAAGCACTTGAACACAGAATAGTTAATGAAAATGAGGCTTATTGATTAGAAGCATTTAAAGAGAGAAGAAAAAAAAAATGATAGAGGTGGCTTCATACCAAAAAGTTCAGGTATTCTTCCCCTTCAAATAGAGCAGATGACAGTTTTCAAAGTCTTTGTAGCTTTTGGTTGAGTTCTGTGGGTTCCCATCTTTTCAGTGAGAGCCCAGGGAGTGGGACTAGTTTCAGAATAGTGGGTACTGAGATGAATGAGATGTAGCAGCTGTACATCCTTAAGGGAGAGAGACAAAGAAAGTACTTATTTAATCTCTTTTGAAGGAGATTTTTGATATTTGTGTTGAAAAGATGTCTGACCTGTTAGCAGGTGGCAGGAGGAGTTCTTTCAGTGGGTGTACAGTGTAATCTGGTTCATGAATATACACCTATGCTGGAGTGTCTTGTGCATGCCCATGTGAATGTGTGTGTGATTGGAGATAAGTTGGGTGACAAAGGGAAGGACACTACTGAAATAGGCTGGGAAGCAAATCAGGATGACAGTTGAAAAAGAAATTAGAACTGTATTTTATGGCTTCAGACACTTTTGGAAAGTATTTGGGTGAAAGAGTCATGTGATCAGCAGTGTATAGCAGTAATATGCAAGATGGAGCTAGGAGCCACCTAAGAAGCTGTCACAGAGGTCACAGACAATGAAGGTCTGAACTAAAATGGGAGCAGTGGGGCCAAAGAGAAGCAGTCAAATATGTGAGGTATTTTGGAGATAGAATTAACCCATTCTTGAGGATTAAAAGAATATTGAGAAGATAAAAATGTTCTTAATAGCAGCGAAGCAGCAATTGGGGAGGGTAGGACTTGCTTGATTTGTAGCAATGGTGGCAAATCTTTGATAGCTCTCTAATAGGCAGCAGGGAAAGCCTGTCTCACTGTGAAGATGAAAATGAGGGCTAACGTGAGAGAGAATTCAATGATATCTATATAATTTGGAGGTAAGCTTGCAGACATTCCTTTTAGAGTGTGTAGAATGTGTAGGAAGATGGCAGTGAGACTCATTTCCAGTTACACTGCCTGCTCTGTCTGTGTATGTAGCTTTCTCCTGTGGTATTAACTGTTGGGGTGAATAAATGGGCTATTAGGTGTCTCACTTTTCTGTGTACAGCTGCCTGCTGTGGAGTTTTACTCATATTTCTTCAGGGGAGTTGGTGGATGTAACTCTTATGTGGCCATCTCTTAATTGGCTATTTGGGTTAGTATCATTTTATAGTCTGACTTTTATCAGTTACTGAAGCCACTTTTCATTCAATCATTCAACAAGTTTTCAATAAGCTAATAGTAGTAATATAGAGGCATTGATAATGCTGTTAATAGCACCAACTGAAAAAACAACCTTTTAGTGAGCACTTACTTTAGGTTAGAACTAGTACTGGATATATTTATTTAATTGAAGTGTTAAAAATTCTAGAACATAGTTTGATAATCTCACTAGTTTATAGATCAGGGGACCTGAAACTGAAAGTTGAAAACAGCGTGTTCAAGGAGACCAAAGGATAGGAAATGGCAAAACTGATATTCAAAACCCAATTTTCTTTTTCATTTCAAATACCATTAAGTAGTCTTTCTGTTATATAGAAGATAGTGTTCTAAAATCTGTGATTAAAAGATGAAGAAGACATAGTTGATAAGGATCCATAGTCTTGTGGGAAACATGATTCAAAATCATTCGATAATGTAACAGTACATTGATTTTTTTTTTTTAAGTGAAGACTTGAGGACAAGTGCTTAGGCCAGCTGTAGGATTCCTATGGAAGGGCTTCTAACAGAAGTGAGCTCACCTAAGTGTTAACAGAAGAGTAGTAGGAATGAACCAGGTACAAAAGAGGTAGTGACAGGAAGTCATCCCATGTGAATGGGACCCAGACAGAAGAGCAGAGGGGCTGCAAACGGTGTGTTGGAAATTACTGTTTCTAGAATTCTTGATGCAAAGTTAAGCAAGAGAGGGAACCAGTGGAATAGACCTTGCGATGTTTTTAGCCTCAAAGGATAATCTTGGAAGCTCTTTAGAGAAACTATTCAAAGAGGACAGGAGAAAAAAAAAAAACAACAACAACAGGGAGTTGGGAGAGGTTAGGGCATTACTTGCAGTCAGAAAGCAAAGAAAATCTGACTCCAGGCAATAGTATAAGGATGCTGCAATGATTTTGGATTTGACAGACTACAGGACTGTTATATGCAGTCTGTTGCTTGGATGTGGAGAAAGTGAGGAGAAAAAAATCAAGTGAAAGATAAACTTCCTAGTTTCCAGTTAGATTAAATGAGTATATTTTGTTAGCTGAAATTATGTATAGAATACAGAGGGAGGATTTCATTGTTTGAGTTTGAGGCAAGAAGAGGTTGAGGAAGAAATGTTTAGCTATTAGTTAAATATATGAATTTGACTCAAGATTGAAGCTGTGCCTTGAAATTGGGATTTTTTTAGTCACTAGAGTCTGCATAATAATGAGATTGTTACAGAACGTTATGGTAACTTATCAGTATAGACAGTCTTTCCAACAGATACTTGTTGACTTCATATTCTGGTTAAATTCTTTATTCTGTTCTGGAGTTGCTTTAAAATGTGAGATGGTTGAGGGATGGGGGAAGGCTTGGTGGGTGAGTTATTGGACTATTTCAATAGCTTTAACAGTACAGTTTGGCTGCCTTCAAACACTAGCAGCAAATTCCACCAACTTCAGGCACCTTCATCCCTGAGGTCTCTGGGTGCACTTTTACAGCATAGAGGATCTGACCTTTCTATCATGAATCTCCACTTCATGAAGAGTCACACTTCATTCTTCACATTTTCATCTAGGAAGTAAGTCGTGTGGATGTTGATCCAATATTCAGCTCTCTATCTTTCTTCTTCCAAGTACAGAGTATCTTCCATCTTTCCTATTCTTTCACTTAATCCTTTCAGTGACCTGCTCTGGCCCATGAGCTTTGTAATTGGCACAATGCAAGTTTATGTTGCAGCAAGCTTACAAATCACTGCATATAATGGACTTAGGGGATCATTTATAAATAATTGAAGCCATGAATTTTAAATTCTTTAATGCCAGAGGTTCGACTGAATAGCAATGTTTCATGGAATTCCGTAAGATTGCCATTTTTTTTAGCCTCTTAAAATGTATTGTGAGAATCCCTCGTCCATTATATTGGTATTTGTGACTTTGTCATTTCTTTTCCTTTTTGAATACATTGACATATTAAATGTATTCATTGTGAATTAAAAAAATGTGGAAGTAGAGGGGGTTGAAATGATGCTAAACATTTCATATCTTATATTTTCTTTTCTTTGGCCTTCTCCCCCACCACTTGTTTTTTAATGTAGGTGAGAGACAATGGTAGCTTATACCTGGATGTAACAGTGAAGGAGTAAGAATGATCTTTCCTAGTCTGCTTGCTTGCCACTTTTTTCCTTTCCTTTGTTTATTAACCTTTATATACTGAGCACTTATTATGGTGGCAGGTATGCTAACTCTGGAAGTATATTGGTAAACAAATCTAGGGAAAGACAGACAGTAAAAATGAATATAAAATAACATTGTACTAAAATGTCTGAATACATGCCTGCTGTGTTGTGGAAAGGTAAGAGGAGAGGAGGGAGTCACTACCTACTTTACGTAGGGTAGCTGGGCTAGGTAGGTAATGTGTCTGAAGAGGGAACATTTAACCTGAGAACAAAGAATGGCAGCAGTCTAATAATGTAATGAATGAAAGTGGGGAGTCTGTGGTACTACTAGAACCCCATAAGCTGGGCCAAAGGGAATGAAGTGAGGTTCAAGTAGGTACTTCCTTTGTTTCGATTTTAAATGTAGTGGGAAGCTATAGAACTATGTTAGTCAGGGGAGAGACTTGATCTAGTGAACATTTTTACTTTTTTCATTATTTTTTTTAAATGGCATCTACAGTCAGCTGCATAGGGTTATTGGGTTACAGGACCTAAGGAAGTAAATCACTCATTAAGTGAACCTAGAAGGTCAAGATGTTAAACTCCAAGCAAACCAGGATTTCATTTTATTTGTTATTGAGGTCAATGCCGTTTTTACTGCACATTAATAAAAGCCTCCTCTCTGTTGCCAAGATTCAAAAGCAATCCTGATTGTCATTTTCCCCCATACTTTTTAAGAGATAGAGAGTGCCAAATTTAGGAAGGCTGGGAGAAAGGAAAGAGGAGAAAAGGCAGAGTCTCTCTTCCTCTGATTTGTAATCTCTATTTCCAAGGCAGATGGAGTCATGCCATTGTCCTCATCAGTGCTGTGGCCACTCTAGGAATAGAGATCTCTTCCTGAGGCCAGCTTCCCTCCTTGGGTACTTTACTTTGGATACTTTTACTTGGATACTTTAGATACTTCTACTTGGATACTTTTACTTTAGATGCTTTTACTTGGATACTTATACTTTTACTTCTTTCCTTGGATACAGTTACTTTGGTGCAAAAGGTGGACTAGCTCTGGTTTTGACAGATGTCAAACTCAGTCCAGGAGGCTGCCCCTACATGTAGAGCCTTTGATTTCCTTATTATCACTCATCTGAAAACTCACTTGCCCAGTCTCTATTTAAAAAAATTTTTTGGGGGGGAAGAAAAACAAATATAGGTAGGAGATGATGGCTTATATCTAGTGGTAACAATGAAAAAATAAGAAACGATCTTTCCTTGTCTGCTCACCATCCTTTTGTCCCCCTTAATATACTATACTATACTATACTATAAGGATTTAAAGATTGAAGATGAAGAATGCCCACCATTCACCCCCAGGCTTTATTCAAAAATTACTGAGAGGCTGGAAGATTTTAAGATTTGGAGGAATGTTATGTTTGTGGGGAGAAGCTACTCTCTCTTTCCAAAATTATAAGAGAGGCACTCTAAGGGTATTATTTATGGAGTTATGCTATGCCAGCAGAACAAGAGACTAGCATTTAATTGGATATATGCTTAGCTGAAGAATTTTCTGACCTACTTTTACTTCATGAACAGAAAAAAGGACATTGGTGGTAGTTAACCTAGTAGGAGATGGGTAAGTTACTCCCTTCCTATCTAGATATCTAGTCCCATGTATATTAGTGTCTGGTATTCAGAGAGAGATTGGATTGGGATACAGAGGAGCAACTTGGCAGGAAAGTGCATGGGAAGAAATGTGCATGAATACAACTGAGGGTCGACTCTAAGGGATAGCCAAGTGATTGCTTTTTCTTTAGACCATCATTGAAGATGGTCCAAGAACCATGATAAGACCTAGTTTCCATTTGCAAGGTATTTAGTCAGTTTGGATAACAGTTTAAGTGTAAATATCATGTTTCTTAAAAAAAAAAAAAAAAAGACAATTACTTCAGAAGAAATCATGCTAGTAATACTTTGTTAAGACATTTTGGCTGTTCGATATTAAGTAACAACAAAACTAGTTTCCCCCACCCCGGGGGTGGCAGCCATTTTCTGTGAGTCTTCAACTATAAATGGGGTGAACTTTTTATGTGTATTTGGTGAGCTGTCCACGTGTCCTAGGTATGGTTTCCAGGAGGACTAGGGCTTATTTGCGCAATGCTTCCACTTCACAGCCTGTAGATATAATTGGGAGGTTATCTTTGATAAGATCAGGAAGATTTTTCTTTGTACTGGTGATAGTATAAATAATAAGCTTTCTTTAATCATAATATGATTGAGAATTTGGTCCAAAAATTCCTTTAATGGTTAATAAGTTAATTGGAAACAGACCACTTCAAAGGAGTCATGTTTATTTTCTGAGTTGGTTATAATAGAGCTTCATGTACATTTTTCTGTGAGGGAGAAGCTATAGGAAAAAATCATGATTACATTTAAAGGGTAAAAATAAAGTATTTCAGTAATTTATAAGGATAATATATATTAAGTATGACATTGTAGAATAGAAAATTCAAGAGTCTAGTAGGTTTTTGTGGAAAGATTATGTTCAAATCAAAACAAATATATTCTCTTATTTCATTTGAATTTTTCTTTTTCTTTTTCACTGAATGATTGTAAGGTTTTGATACAACTCTAAATTCATTTTCTAATAACTGGATTTTTAAATTTATTTCCCTTAAATTTTATTAACTTATCAGTCGTTTACATATTTATATAACCTGGGGTCACTTTTTTCATACTTCCATAAGTACACATGCTTCACTTACCTTCCACCAATATCCCTCTCCCAATATCTTATCCCCTTCTTTCCCTGTCGCCTCTTCCATCTCTTCTTTTCCCTCTGGTAAACGGTATATATTTTCACAGAAGTTAAAAATTATTTTGCTATGTTTTGTCAGTTTGTGTTCTTTGGTTATTCCAAAGAATAATGTAATAGTCTACAAATAATGGAAACCATCTGGTTGGTATCTGCCTTTTACTTTCTGGCACTACGGGCCCTCCCTGGTGGTGCAGGGGGTTAAAGCACTGCATTAAGAAGCTTCAGCCACTTCCGCATGAGTTCGATCCCTGCCTGCCCCGGAGGAGATCCACATGGCATGGCAGACCTCTCCTGACCCGCCCGCTGCTCCCCTCAGCAGTGTACTTCGTGGATCCGCCTGTACTGGTCCCCACTCTGTCCCTGGTGAATCCTCTCACCCTCTGCATCTCTGGCCTGTACCCCAGTTCTGTATGAATAAATAAATAAATCTTTTATAAACAAACAAACATAATCACTTCAAGATCCACCTGTTTTGTACCAAAGGGCACTCTTTCATCTTTTTTTAAATAACTGAATATAAATCTATTAACTGTATATTGTCTAGTTTATCATTGGGGCTGTGGGTTGGTTCTACAGCTTGGCTATTATGAATGCTGCTGCTATGAACTTAAGAATACACAAATATTTTTTTGTTTTCATATTCATTTGGTAATACTGAAATTATACATTGCCATTGTTAGAGCATATGATATTTCCATTTTTATATTTTAAGGTATCTCCATACTATTTTCCATAGAAATTGTACCAAATTACACTCCTACCAACAATGGATGAGTGCTTTTTCTCCATATTCTTGCCAACATTTGTTGTTTCCATTCCTTTTGCATACATGTTATTCTTCAGGGGTAAAGCTACTTTATTTTATGAGAAATATGTATATTTACTTATTTAGTATTGCTCTAAAGTAGGGACAGAAAATAAAGGTATTTTTAAAAAGGATTTACTTATGTGTACAGAACTGGGGTAGAGGTCAGAGGTGCAGGGGCTGTAAGAAAATTCACTAGAGACAGAGTGGGGAGCAAAACAGGCAGACTGATAAAGTACACTGCTGAGGGGAGCAGTGGGCAAGACAGGAGAGGTCTGCTGTGCCATGTGGTTCACCTCCCTGGCCGAGGATTGAACTTGTGTAGAAGCAACTGTTGATAGCTTTGCAGTGCTGTACTTTAACCCCTTGGGCCACCAGAGAGGGCCCCAGAAAATAATGAAATTTCTAACAACTTTAAAATATGGATTTTAGAGGTTTTAAAATGATACATGTTGCATGAATCTTGTAGTTTCACAGCTTTATGCTTAAATTTACATATTTTTAAAAACATGTTTTATTTCTAATTTTCTTTGATTGTTTATAGGAAATACCACAATCATTTTCTTCAAGCACATTAAGTTACACACAGATGAATAATACAGTAAGTGATACACGGAGAAACAAAATTCCAAAAGAGGAACTTGGTAAGGTTTCTGAACATAAATTCATTACTAAAGGAAGACAAGATGAAGAAGATGAGGCAGTTAACTGTTTTGAGAGTTGTTTGAGTGCCCAAAGCAAGTCATTGCATGAGTCTCAAGGATCTCATCCTAAGTCTAGTTCTAATCCCTCAAATCCTGAGACTTTGTATGCACAAAGAACTGATTCTGTTCCACAAAGTTCTGAAGAAAACAAGGTCAAAAGAACATCCTGCATGTATGGTGCAAACTGCTACAGGTAAGGGAAATTGCAGGCAGTGTATAATTCATTTATTTCAGCAGCATGTAGCCAGGTAAATGTGTGTTGAAGAGTATTATTAAAAGCTTAATAAAACCTGTGAACCTAAAATTGGGAACTTTGTCATGTTTCTACTGCTTTGCCCTTTCTCATTCTGCATTGTAACAAATCCTACTTATTAGAGGCTTTTAAGATACAGTAGGGAATTGAATGTTTCATATGCAGACATGCTGACTAATACACAGATTTAAATACTGGGGCATCCATACTTGACAAATGAATCACTCAGACTTAAATACCTACATATTTAATGTCTTATTTAGGTATTAGAGAAATAGCTTCAGACTATGGTCCAGAGACCTTTTATGTTTCGAGTGCTCAAAATGCTTTTTAGGTTGAAACCATTTTCATATTTATGAGACTTTTTATACTGTATGCCTTTTTTCTTATTTTCTCACTCACAAGTGTACAGTAAGATTTTCCATAGACTGTGTGGTTTGTGATATTGTTAACAATTTGATGCAGAGTCTAATGTAAAATCTGGATACCTCTGTTAAATTAGACATTAAAGAAATATCTCCATCAATTTGTTTTGGGAGATACAAGTTATTTATATTAAGATGGTATATATTACATATATATTTAAGATGGTATATATCATATATATAATATATATTACTGTTTAATAACAATAAATAAATAGCTTATAATTTAAAGGGAAATATATTTTTAAATTTCATTTTTTAAAATTTATTTATATATATTTTACATCATTGTTCATTTTTGTACAATGTTTACTTTCTCCTCTCAGGGGTAGCCCTTGTAAAATTCCCACTACCATTTCTACCATGGACCATCACCATAGTCACTTATGTTCTTCCCTCCCCTGTTTTGATTCCTCTTTCCCCCACTTCCCTGAAGAATGTCTCTGACTTATAATTACCTATTAATTTTGTTTTTTGTTTATTATTATTTTTTCCAGGTCCCTTACTTGGGCCCCCTATATTCCTCCTATAAGTGAAACAGTTCAATATATTTCTTTTCCCTTCTAGCTTATTTCACTGAGCATTAATCCCTTTTAGCTCCATCCATGTTGTTATAAATGGCATGAATTTGTCTTTTTGATTGCCAGATAGTATTCCATTTCCTGATCCATACATCTATTTTGGGGCATTTGGGTTGTCTCCATATATTACCTATTGTAAATAGTTCTGCAGTAAATGTAGGGTTTTAAGTATCCTTTTGAATTAATGTTTTGTGTTCTTTGTTTTAGAATTTCTAATAGATTAAATAGCCACATGAAGAAAAGCTTTCTGGGGCTTTATTAATTTTATCCTGAGACCAAAATGTTTGAGAAACATTGTTTTAGATGATGGGATAGTGATTACCTTTGGGTAGTAAAATAGGTTTGATTCGGGATGGGTCATGCGGGGGCTTCTAGAATGCTGATAATGTTTTGTTTTGTATCTTAGCAGAGATTGCATAGGTGCTTTTATTTTTTATTATTTTTTATTTTTTATTGAAAGTCTTTAAAATCTGATATGTGTGTGTATAATATTTTATTTGTACATACATAAATCCTATTTAAAGTACTTTCTACAAATTGTCCTATAATATGCAGGACCTACCATATGCCACCAGAAATTCTTTTTGTTAGCATAAGAATTTTGTACTGACTAGATATCATGAACTTTGTTTTTAAAAAACATACACATTGGCTTTTATTTTGGAACAATCAAATTTATATTGCTTGGTTACCTGAATATATCCATTGACTCACTGTATATTTCAGATCTATTAGAAAAAGTAATTCATCCCGTTAGTATTTTTTTTTTCTAACAGTGTATGTCACCCTCATAGGAAGAATCCTATCCATTTTGAACACTTCAGTCATCCTGGTGATAGTGACTATGGAAGTGTGCAAGCTACATGTCAAGATGAGGCTGATGATCGACCTGAATGTCCCTATGGAGCGTCCTGTTACAGGTATATAAGCCTGAAATGTTTGGTTGTCTACCTTTTCTCCTTAGCTTGTGTTATTTATGCAGGAGAAATTACAAGCAACTTTTCATTTCAAGCCTTTTTAACTTAAGTTTTAAAGCTTTCACACGTAATATGTTTTCATTTTCTTATGGGTAGGATTACAGTATTCTTTTAGATAATTTTGACTTGTAGTTATTGACCTCATAAATATCTGAAATTGTTCCTCATTGCTAATTTTCAAGATACAAATAAAATAATTTAGAAATTGACAGTGCCATCACATTATACTCTACCAGACTCACTAGTGGCACATGAAACAACTCAGAATGTTATCTCTGCCTCACTCATCTCCCAGTATGCTACCATTCTTGCCAATACATGAAACTCAATTTTAAGAGAAAAGTGGGAGTTCCTTACATCTTACAGCCATTTGTATCACATAGAATAGAATTTATCTTGTGAGTTTGTGCTTATTTTTTTTACTGGATGACTTCAGTTCATAAGTCATAATGCTGATATACCTTTGCATTTTTTAAAAATATTTTACTTCCTCCTGCCTTTTTTAAATCTATGATTGCAACATATTTTTACTTCTACAATTGTTAGCTTATAAGTCATTGTTTTTATTATTTTATTAAATTTTAGACTCTAACTTGCTTTTACATTTACTCATGTATTTATCATTTTGGGTACCTTAATTTCTTTGTGAAGTTTTATCCTTTTTTACTGGAATAATTTTATTTTTTGTTTAAGGAAGTTCTTAATGGTATTCTTTGTAGTAAAAACCTGCTGGACAAGAATTCTCCCAGCTTTTGTGATTCCAAAATATCCTTCTTCTTATTATTTTTTAAGGTTCTTTCCATTGGGTATAAAAATCTAGTTTGGCAAGTTCTGTTTCCTTTTGTCATTTTTTTTTTAAGATTTATTTATTTGTGCATACAGAGCTGGGGTACAGGCCAGAGGCTCAGGGGCAGTGAGAGGCTTCACTAGGGACAGAGTGGGGAGCAGAACAGGCAGATCAATGAAGTACACTGCTGAGGGGAGCAGTGGGAGGGTCAGGAGAGGTCTGCCACACCATGTGGTCACCTCTGGGTCAGGCAGGGATCGAACTCTTGTGGAAATGGCTTAAGCTTCTTTGTGCTGTGCTTTAACCTGCTGTGCCACCTGGGAGGGCCTCCTTTTGTCATTCTAAAGATGTTCTTCCTTTGACTCTTGCATTCTTATATATTTAAAGTTAAATTTTGCTTTTTTGAAATCAATGTAATTTTTTCCTTTGTCTACTTCTAAGATTTTTGGCATTAGTTTTACTTTGAGTAGCTTTACTAACATGTATGTACTTAGCTATATGTTTCATTGTTCACTTGGTTTGGAATTATTAAACTTTTGTTGTTTGAGTTTTTTCTTGTTAATTTGAGGATACTGCTTAGCTGTTATCTTGTTAGATATTGCTTCTGTCCCTTTCTGTTGAAAATATATTAAATCATTTTACCACATCCCACATATCTCCTGTATATGTTCTTTCCTCTTTGGTTCATGCTGTATAGTTGCTATTGATTTGTCTTTAAACTTTATTTAGAGTTCACTAATTCTTTCTTTTCTGTCTAGTTGACTGTTAAACCCATACATAGAGTTTTTAACTTCATTTTTCAATTCTATAATACCCATGATTCTTCTATAGAATCTAATTTTGGTGAAATTATCCATCTTCTCACGCACTCTTCATTTATTTAGTTGTTCCTTTGAATTCTTTAATATATTTGTCTTAGTTTTATCCAAATTGTATTTGCTCATGAATGTTCCTGGATTGGTTTTTGTTGTTGCTGTTGTGACTGTCATATTTTCTTGCTTCTTTCTAATAACTTTTGTTGCAATACTGGCATTGCTTATGAAAAGAATTGTAAGGACTTTAGATGTTAGCTTCCATTAGTGAGACTACCGCTCTTTTTGGCAGATAGACACTAGTTATTGCTGTTCAATCAGATTTGGATAGGCAATTGTGGGTTGATACTTTAATAAAACTCAGTCTACCTTTAGGTTTTCTTGTTCCTTTCACTTGGCTTTTCTAGACTTTTGATTGAAAGGTACAGTTCTACTTTTCTAGCTTTGAAGCTTCTCTTTGCAGGTTCTGGTCCATTAACCTACCACCCATCCATCTTCAATTATGACACATTTCTTGAGGGGAAGCTAGTTATGGGTTGGTTACAGATCCCTTCTTCCCCTAGTAAGACTTAGTCCCTGAAACACCATAATTTGGAGATTTCATTTCACTATTTTGAAGTTTTGATCCAGACCTTAAGCCTCTCATAACTCCCTGGAATTTTTCAAACATTTCTTTGGAAATGCTTTCTATTGGGCTTCTTAGTTTCCAAATTGTTCTGACACTACTATGAGACCATGGAAAATTCTATATTTATTTCTTCTCAAATAGAGTTCTTCTGCTTCATTAAAATTACCTTCTATCTATACCAATATCTGACAAATACCTCTAAAGCAGGAACCTGCCCATGATTGTCAGCTTACCTTGAAAGGGCTTTCCCTCTATGGAATATTAGATGCACTAAAATTTTCATTGTTCCCACAGTTCTCTCATAAAAATAATTTGTATAGCTTATCCCTTTTTGCTAGTTGTTAAAATAAAATTTTTGGTTTATCATGATATCCAGCATCCTTTTTAGAAGCAAATTCAGATTCTTGAGAAGAATAGAAACAAAGTACAATGCCTTACAGCAAAATAATGATGTCAGAATATTACTACATTCATGTCATCAATCTCCATAAGAGACCAGAGTAGGAAGTAATCAAGAGAAATTATTCCAAGACCTGTGACCTACATATGCCCATAGAAATTTTCATGTCTATATCTAGATGTATTTATATATACATATAGTGTACATTTTTCATCTGTTAATCTCCTTGGTATCCTGGTTCATTTTGGAGATAAAATCTTAAGCTTACTTTCCTCTCATTAATTTTAATCACAGTTCAGAGAATATTACATATGATTGCTTACTGTAACTATTGTTTTACACATAATGAAATGGAAACTAAGAAAGGTTTAGTGAGTTGCCTAAGTTGCCAAAGTTCCCACTCTTTCAGACTAGCATTTCCCCATGGCAGGACTTGACACCACCATGGTTAGTCAGGGTTTTATGAAGTATTAATAGGGATTGATTTTTTAGCCAAATGGTAAATAGTTTGAAGTTAAAAAAAAAAAACAACAAAAACTTCAGATAATTCACTTTGTTGAATTAGTGAAAGTTTCATATTAGCGAGATAATAGAAATCCTACTTGCAGAAGCAAGATATGTTTTTATCCACCCTTATCAAACTATAATTATTGTGAGAAAAAACATGAATAGTAGGTTTATTTTGTGTCATCGTTAAAACTCAACGGAAGTTAATTATGATTCAGTTATTGTTTGGCAATCTTGCTTTGCAACTATATATTTTTGGGGGGCCTATACTAGGTAGTGTTACAGTAGATATTAGTCTTATATTTCAAAAGAATAAAATATTCTAATTTACTTTGCTTGAAAGCAAAAGCATGCTAGTTTCTTTCTGCAGTTGTAGGGAAAAACATTGAAGTCTCAGAGAACATAAAATAACCCACAAAAATCACCAAGAAGTTATTATATTTAGAAAATAAAAAAATTGTATAATCTAAAAGTAATTTCTATAACCATGTGCCAAGGGGTACCCAGGGACTCCAGCCTACTAAGGGGGAACATATTTTCAGGGTTAAGAAATCAGACTCTTGATGTAAAAGATCTTTAATTGATGTACAATTTGGTGAACTTTAGATCACCAGCATGACAATATGAAAGGGCATAAATTTGGGGATCAAAAGGGCCAAAGCTAAATTTGAAGCATGCCGTTTAACAGTTGTATGGTTCAGGGCAAACCCTGAGAGTCCCAGATTCTCAAATTCCCAGAATTCCCAACAGATTCTCATTAAATATCATTTCCTAGTATCATCCATGGTCAAAAGTTTTATTACCATGAAGCAAATATGAAAACCACAATACTATATGTATGGGCATGCTTACTTCATTTTCCTGTGAGTAAAATGGAAAAGCAGATGTGGATCACATATTAAATGCACACTACAGTAAATGAAATACTTTATATATTCATACATTGCCTATATGATGAAGTGATAGATATTTAGAAAGGTATTTAATTATTAATTTTTATGTTTTTCTAGAGTTATAGGATTTATTAACATTTTCTCTGACTGAGATATTGTAAAATCTAGTAAGTTTAACTCAATTTGGAGAAATTATAACTTGAAAGAACTAGTTAATGTCATTTTAGGTACCTTGTCCATTTCACTGGTTTATTCTTTTTGTGCTGTACTTTACAATCTGACAGAAGACTAGCCCAATTTAATATGTTGATTAACTTCTGGTACTTGTCTGAATTAGAACAGTAGACACTTGATGTTCAGAATAACTCAGTGATTGCTGTCTCTATCACCTGACTTACTTCCTCTGATGTCTGATAGGATTATATGTAATTCATTACTCCTGTTCTTGTTTGTTAAATTAAGTACTGCGTTTAGAATATATAGAATTCATTTTCTATTGACTTAGTGTAAAAATATAGTCAAACTTACATATAGTTGCTTTAAACTTAGAAAAGTTGAAAATGCCTTTCAATTTGTTAAGGCCTTGAGATGAAACAAGTAAGGGCATTTAGAAAAATACACACAACTCATGGGAAATAGTGAGGAGGAAAGCAGTGGGAAATGAAGTCGGGTATGGTGGAGAATTTTGTGAGAAGCTATTGGCAGATTTTTAATAAGAAAACCTGATGTCAGTTACTTTTAGAGACTTATTCTGGTTGCTATGTGGAGAACAAATTTATGGAGGGCAGGAGAAGGAAGGGGGATAATCAGTTAAGTTGCCTGGTGCTTCAGGCAAGATGTGATGTGGGGGTGACTAAGGCGGTAAAGATGGAGGAAATTAAGAAATTGGTCTGGCTTCTGATACATTTAAAGGTTGTAATTTCCTCTTTCTATAGTGTCAGATATGTGTTATTCGTATGTCTATATTACTAAAATTAAATGTTTCAGAAATAGGTATTTTAATATAATATCTAATGGAAACCCCAGTGTAGTTGGGGGTATGTAGCCCTATGTTTAGAACCCAGAGATTACTGTTAATAATTAACAACAATACAAAGAAAATCAGAAAATATTTGAGGCCTGATGAGCTACAGAAAATGCCATTTGTGAAAAGGTTGATGTAAAATTTTATAAATGAACTCTGTATAAGTATTTCCATTTGTTATTAGGAAACAGTCCTGGAGGGAATTTAGTATTGTCCATGAAAGTTAATCCAAATGCTCATATATCCCTAAAAAGCTGAATCGAATTGCCATTTAGTCGTAACTTAGACTAACATGAAAATGACAGACTTCTTATGAAATAAGTGATTTTTGAAAATGGATTATGCATAGAAAAATATTAGAAAATATTCTTTAAATGTATAAAATTCAATTGGGGCAATATTCAACCATAATAATTGTGGGTATTAAAAGGCAAAATTCAGCTATTTGGTATTAATTGGCAACTACTTTTTTTGGCATGGTGAGTTTTTATACATTGTCAGCTATCTTAATGTGAAACTGATATCTATTTCTATAAAAATAACCTGACACCTGTAAAATGCTTAATAGCCTACAAATGTTTATATACATTTCCTCATTTAACTGTTGAAACAACCCTGTATGAAGGAGGCAGTATTATCCCTGCTTACAGATGAGGAATTGGAGACTTGGTTCATAGGGTTTGCCCTGAAACATACAACTGTTAAACGGCATGCTTTGCATTTAGTTTTAGCCCTTTCATACTGTAATGCTGGTGATCTAAAGTTTAACAAGCAAGATGAGAATAGGCCAAAGACATTGTGGCATCTTTCTCTTTAGCATTTGGGAAGACTCTGTTCTACAGACCTGCATGATTGATCGACTAGAGCTAAGTGACTTTGTGGTGCTGAGCTGTCAGTATCTCAGGAACCTGATTGTAGTGGACTCTGCTTAATGTGATTGTCAGATTGTCATTGTTTCCTGGGGAAGTAATATAACTTGTTAATGGCAGGAAATTATAATGTTTTTTAGCTTTAGGTGTGTGTAAAAAGATTCAGTAAGTTCTTTGATTATTAACTTTATAGGTGTAACTCCAAAACAAGTTCTGCACATTGTATTCTTTCAGACTAATAGAAATAGGCATTTTCTGTACTGTTTAATGATAGCAAAACTGCATTTCCAAGGATAAACTTTGGAAAAATCAGGACAGTATTGACATTAACTCAATAAAACTCAGTAGTCTAGAAATTATTAGAAACTGGTTTTTTCTTTGTACTACAGCCAATGAGAATTTGAATTTTTTGTTTACATTACAAGTAATTCTTTTAAGTTCTAGTCAACAATCATTTTCTTAAGAAATAGTAAAGAGCAAAAAATGCTGTTTTTCCTATTAAATAAAAAAAATCCATCATATTGGACATTAATGAAAGCATACTTGAAAGATGTTGAAAATTTCTGGGTGCTGATTGTCAATTTTTAGTAGGTTTAAATTTTTTTTTTTTTTAAGATTTATTTATTCGTACAGAACTGGGGTACAGGCCAGAGATGCGGAGGGTGAGAGGATTCACCAGAGACAGCGTGGGGAGCAGAACAGGCAGAATGAAGAAGTACACTGCTGAGGGGAGCAGCGGGCGGGTCAGGAGAGGTCTGCCTCGCCATGTGGTCGCCTCCAGGGGCAGGCGGGAATCGAACTCATGCGGAGGTGGCTTTAGGTTCTTAGTGCAGTGCTTTAACCCGCTGTGCCACCAGGGAGGGCCAATTTTTTTTTTTTTTTAAATAAAAGCTACCAGTGTATTTACCTTAGTAAAAAGTAATTTTAAACAGTTACCAGAAATAAGCTCACCCAATGCCAAGATAAATAATCATTAAAAAGGAAAGTTGTGTACAGGATATCTGAAGAACATAGCTTCAGAAATCCTCAACAAAACACTATCAAATCTAATTCAGCAATATGTACTATGACCAAAAGGGATTTATTCTAAGGATGAAAGATTCAACATATGTAAGTCAGTTATATATTACATTACATCAACAAAAGGCACAAAAAAGGTCCTATCAATAGATGTAGAGAAAGAATTTTGTAAATAAAAGCAAAACAGAAACTAAGATCCCCACTTGGAGATCTCAAATGGCAATCTTTTTTTTAGATTATCCATGGAAAATACCTTTGGTGTTAATGTCTTTCAGTTTCTGTTCCTCCTCCCCTGCTGTCCAGTGTTAACTGTATTTTAATGAAGACTGAATTAAGGTGCAGTAATCTGCACCATTGTGTTCAGTAGGGAAAGATCATCCCATAAATCCTTACTACAACTTTGTTTGTGGAGTTCTTCATTACATTTAAGTTGTTGGGTTTATTTTTCTCAATCTTGAAGTTTCTTTTCCATCAATAGTTCAAATTTGAGTTAAGTACTCCTATACTTGATCTTTAGTAGAATCTTTTTCTCTACTTTTTGAAACTTGAATTACACCTAATTCACTGTGGTTGCACTCTTAGGCTGTTCATTGCTTATATTATAGAAAAGATTATTAGAAAAAAGAAGAGAGTTTAGCAATAAGAAGTGTCACTGACAACTGACTCTGTATTTGGCATGTAATAAGTGCTCTGTGGCTATTTCTTGGACCAGTGATGAATGATGAATCAATGGCTGACATTAATTACTTACTGCCTCCTAAGCCCTAAGATAAAGCACTTTCTGTGTGTTCCTGGTGAGCCCTCGTGTGAACCATTCACTTCAGCTCTTATCTATTGTCAGTGTCCCCCAGCTCTCTTTTGTCAGTCCCCTAACCTGCTAAGTAGACCAAGATCAACTAGTTAGTACTTTGTATTTTTGCTGTCTGGACAGGTTTGCATTATCTGGAGAATGACTTGTATATGTAATGTTTCCAAGCATTTGGTTAACAGTTAAAATAATAGCAGAGATCATATGTACATATGATAAAAAGTAAATGTTCAGTAGTTCTGTTTCACTTTGGAATATGTTAGATGAATTTCTCTATGCAAATTGTGGAGAAAAGAGGGGAAATTCCTGTTTCTCATAACAATTTAGTGTTTTGCTTTTTTTTTTAAAGATTTATTTATTTGTGCATACAGAACGGGGTACAGGCCAGAGGTTCAGGGGCGGTGAGAGGTTTCACCAGACACAAAGTGGGGAACAGAACAGGCAGATTGACGAAGTACACTGCAGAGGGGAGCAGCGGGCGGGTCAGGAGAGGTCTGCCACACCATGTGGTCACCTCCAGGGAAGGCGGGAATCGAACTCATGAGGAAGCGGCTTTAGATTCTCAGTGCTGTGCTTTAACAACCGCTGTGCCACCAGGGAGGGCCACAATTTAGTGGTATTTTAAGAGAAACATGATTTAAAAGCTTTTCTCTTTGGATTTAAAAATGCCTTAAAAGTATCCCTTTAGACATTACTCATTTATCTGACATGTTTAAGAAATTTGGTGTAATCATGTACTGTGTTTTTAATATATGAGACACCATTGATATTTTAGGAATATAATACATTTGTTTCAACCTGCCTTTCTATAGTGTATAAGTTACTAGGGAAGAGCCCTGTGTGCCTCACTGTCCTATCTATGCATCTAGAAATATGCTTGTCAGGGAGTAGGCACTCAGTAAATGTATTTAAAGAGCCACACAAAAAATGCTTTTTAACAAAAGGCTTATCAGAGTGTAGTTTTATTTGTAGGTTGACAAGTGTTCTGGTTTAATTTAAACAGACTTATTAATTTTTAGTAATTGGGAAACCAGATTTTCTTTTTCTTTTGTTCAGGAAGAATCCTCAGCACAAGATAGAATATAGACACAGTACACTTCCAGGTAAGTAATTTTCCTTCAGAAACTCAAAATGATACTTCGAGTTATTCTCTTAATTCAACCTAGGTAGTTTCCAATTATTGAGAATACATATATTTTTTAATCTCTAGTTCTGTGAACTTGTTGAGTCACTAATTTTAGTTTTTCTTTGGTTAAAAAAAAAAACTATAAAATTTTCACATAACAAAGTTACTGCCATCATTGCCTAACAATATATGTTTGTCCTTGTGTCTGTGAGGATTCTTTTGTTTACAAGTACCTAAAATCAAAATATTGAACTGGCCTAAATGATAATGTGAATTTATTGATATCAGTAACTGAGAAGTACAGAAGTGTGACTGGATTTAGACAAGATTTATTGTTTGCACTCATATATAATGTCAATAACATCACCAGCAATGCAATTTCCTTTGCCATTCTGTCCTAAGAAGGGTCATTATTATCCCAAAGTTGACTTCTCTCCCCATGGGGCAGAGAAAGAACAACATGCACTCTTACTCAGCTGGGAGGATAGGCACCTGTGCTTACGTCTGAGAGAGAATGAAAACTTTAGTTGTCACTATCCCCAAAATCACAAAAAATCACTTTTTAAAATCACAAAAAAATTGCTTTTAAAAAATCACTTTTAAAAGTTGATCTAGGTCTCATTTTTACTCTTAAACTAATCACTTTCACCGTTGATTAATTTGTACCATTTCTGGAGTCAGAGTAGAGTCAGAAACAAAAGGATCCCCAATAGAAACTAATGTACTAGGGAAAGGAGAAAGAGGGATAGACACTTGGAAGCAGTACTGATTGTCCATCTATCCTATTTATATCAATTCATTTTACCTGTTTCCCCTCTTTATAAAAGCTATTATTTTTTCCCTTTAACAAATTCTGGCTTCTTTGTATCATTTCTATCAGTAACCAGTTGAGCCCCATTATTAGAGAGAGAATAAAAATATATAATACTATTCATACTGTGTCCACACGTGTTTGTATACACTAACCTGTACTTTTACCATAAGGGAATTCCATTTGAGATTTCTGATTGAAATACAATTTAGTGTTTTAGTACTCTGGGCACAAGTGTACAGTACTTAATATGGTATGAAGTTTATATATTTATATTTTCATTCTTGATTACATTTGTAATATGGGATATTTAAAGTCTGTTTGAATTAACTCTATGAGGGTCCAGGAATGAATTGATTCCACAAAGATAATCACATGTCGGCATTTAAAACACAGTCAAGAGTCATTGATGTGGTACCACTAACGGGACACAGAACTGAATTCTAGAGCTGACTTTACCCTTGTCATGACGTTGGCTGTCGAGGTGCTTTCACCTGAAGTACAGAGTGCCCGTTCCTGCTACAGTGTGTTCTGTTATAATGAGGATGATAGATTCTGAACCTTCCATGAAAGGATCATGAATGTTTATGAGCCTGCCTATTAAACTTCTCAACTCACTGAGGCTGAAAGGCCCTTCAACTAGCAGGATTTAAATAAGCCTTTAATACAGTTTACTGTATTGACAGGCAGGTTAGTGATCAAAAGTGTATGTTACAATAAGAAGGGTTTCTGTAAAACTAAAGGTATTTGTTGATTTATAAGTGGTGCATTTGTTCATCCATTAAACAGATTTTATTTATACACTAAATTCCTTCTCTGTGCTAGGCACCATTATAGGAGCTGAGAGTAGGGTGAAGACAATGGTACTATGTCCCTGCAGAATTTAACCAAGGTGGACAGCACATATAAAATAGTTATATGACATCATATAATGTTAAGAAAAATAAAGCTGTATAAGAGAACAGAATATCATGGTATATATGGGGTGAGGAGGGTGCTGTTTCCCATAGGATAGTGAAAATGGCTTCTGTCTGATAATTTGACATTAGAGCAGAAGCCAGAAGGAGAGAGCAGTGCTGGTAATTATCTGAGGGATGAGGATGACAGGCAATGGAAATAATGAGATCAAAACCCTAGAGATAATCCTGCTTTCTGGTTTGAGGAATAGCAAAGAGAGAGTAAAGTTGGAACAAAGTGGGTAAGTAGAAAATGGTAGATGAGGTCAAAAGGCTGACAGTGAGTCAGTTGTGTAGGGTCTTAGAGGCCAAGACTTAGTAATGAGGGCTTCATATATTATTCAGAGTAAGATAGAAAGATGTTGGAAGAATTTCTGGCTAGTTCTCTGTCTGTGAATAGACAAGAGTGGGAACAGGGAAATTAATTAGGAGTCTGTTGGGGTAAGCCAAGAAGAAGTTGATGATATTTGGATCAGGGTATTAGAGTGAACTTTATGAAAAGTGCCAATGTTTTTTGAAGATTGAGATGATAGGATCTCTTGAAATATTGGATATTGGGTTTTTAGTGAGTGTATATTCAAGGATGACTCTAAGATTTTTACCAAAAACAACTAGGAATTTAGAAGATTGGAGAAGTCTTATACTCAAGATTGGTAAAAGAATGACCAGATTTGGATGATAAGACTCAAGAGTTGTGATCTGGAAATGTTACATGTCAGATGCCTATTAGTCATCCAAGCAGAGATAATAACACCAGCATTCAGATAAATGAGCCTGGAATTCAAATGAGAGGTCAGTGCTTATGATATAAATTTGGAGATTTAGGATATGAGACTGGGAGAAATTATCTAAGAAGTGTGTAGAGCATTCTAGATTAAGAGCTTGGGAAGATGAAAATTATTGAGCAGGGAGACTGAGAAAGAGTAGTCAGAATAGGAGAACCAAAAGTTGTTTCAACTCTCTCTTCCCAACCCCCATCTCTCTCTCTCTCTTCTTTTCTTATAAATGTGCTGAGATCATTTTCTGAATCTGAAAGGGAACTCTTTATTGAGGTATCATGAGTTATGTATATGACATACTTCTAAGAGCAAATGGACAAGAGCAGAGATATTAATGTTCTTGACTCCTCACTCCCTCCCCCAATTGCAAACTGTCCTCTAAATGTTTTTAAATGTATTTTATCATAAAAGTAATACTAAAATTGAGATTAGCTACTTAAAGCATGCCCTCAAGATGTTTTCAAAGATAAGAAATGTATACAAATACAGTGCAAGATTTCCCTGAGGGAACTGTAAGTCTCTCCATTTTGTGCTAATGATGATTGGCAAGAAAACTCAGGGGGAAATTTGATGCATAATTTAAAATAGTTATGTTAAAATTGAGTTTGACATTTATATTCCACATTTTTGTTAGCTTATACTTTTATTTGTGATTATTATTATTCTCAAATCCTCTCTGGGGTAAATAGTTAATATAAGGTTTAAAAAAGCTACTCAGATATGGGAGTTAAGAGAACAGATCAATTACCTTCTCATCATTAATTTTTCCCCACCAATTCCTTTAGTTTCATTTATGTAATATCCATCTGTAACATGTGAGCATCTTAGGAGAAAATTAACTAAGGCAGCTACAAAAGTACAGACATTAATTATTTTTAACCCATACATAAGCTGTTCATCAAAGAAATTGTTCTCTTCCATTCAGAGCATTTCTAGATAGAAGCTCCTGCTTATTTCTTAAATGTGCCCCATCATTTTGGAGTCTCTTACTGCCTTATTTTAAACCAACTCTGTTGCCCACTGTGGGGAAAAAAATTAAACAGTGGCATGAGAGAAGAAATGATTTCAGAATAGAAAATTATATTTATTATATAAAAAAGTTGTAAATTCTAATGACTGTTACCATAGTAATCCTAGTCTTACTGAAACAAAAACTGTACAAATATCTTAGATCTGTATGAGCTAAAGCTAAGTCTTCCAAAATACATAAATTTATATCTTCTCAGGTGATCGTAACCTTTATATATTGATCAGGTTTTGCAAGGATTGACATGATAGCAAATAATCCATGAATTTCAGTACTCTGCAACAATAACTAATAGTATTTCTCCTTTATTGTTAGAGCTGCATATTGGCTAGGGCCCTTTTGCAAGTGTGTCCTCATTTTGGAATAAAGATCAGCTCCTATCTGGGACACATTTTTCTCATACTACAAGGTATATGGCAATTGCAGAACCACAGAAAGGAGAAAACTCCCTGGAAGAGGCACATTATACTTCTACTCACTTTGTGAAATAGTCAGCTCAGTGGGTTTGGGAAAAATAACCATATCACAGGGTGGGGCAGTAAAGAACTCTGACAAGTACTACTTTCTACCATTCTGGAAGACAGAGCAATGCGATTATGATCATGATATTAACCATTATTAGAAATCTCACAGGATGCAATATCAGGAGTTTCTCAGGAAGCTCAAGAAAGGGAAAGTTAGAATAATAAATAACTATTTTTTTTAAAGATTTATTTATTTGCGCATACAGAACTGGGGTATAGACCAGAGGCTCAGGGGTGGTGAGAGGCTTCACCAGAGACAGAGTGGGGAGCAGAACAGGCAGATCGACGAAGTACACTGCTGAGGGGAGCAGCGGGCAGGTCAGGAGAAGCTGCCACGCCATGTGGTCACCTCCGGGGCAGGCGGGAATCGAACTCATGCAGAAGAGGCTTTAGTTTCTCAATGCTGTGCTTTAACCCCCTGCGCCACCAGGGAGGGCCCTAAATAACTATTTTTTAAAAAATTTGTTTATTTATGCATACAGAACTGGGGTACAGGCCAGAGGTGCAGGGGTGGTGAGAGGATTCACCAAAGACAGAATGTGGAGCAGAACAGGCTGATCAACAAAGTACACTGTTGAGGGGAGGAGCAGGCAGGAAGACAGGAGAGGTCTGCTGCGTCATGTGGATCACCTTCCTGGTCGGGGATTGAACTCACCCTGAAGCTGCTGCAGCAAGCTTACATTGCTGCATCCTAACCGTTGTACCATCAGGGACAGCCACCAATAGTCTTTTTAATCCCTTTCTAGAAATTTAGTATGCTTAGCTCTGTGCTAAGTAAAATTTATTCTTTTGATGAAGAAAGACATTTTACAGTATGACATCTCTACCCCCAGCTTGAGTAGTAGTTGATGTGTTATATACTAAACTTTTGTTTCTCAGTGGGTAGCATTTCAGATGAAGACAGTGATAATGTTGGGCCATCCAATGAGTACGACCTGAATGACAACTTTCTAGATGATGAGGAAGAAGACTATGAGCCAACAGATGAAGATTCTGATTGGGAACCAGGAAAAGAAGATCAAGAGAAGGAAGATGTAGAAGAGCTTCTGAAAGAAGCCAAAAGGTTTATGAAAAGAAAAAAGTGACTCTTCTCTGCAATAATTTATGACTCCCATTTACTCTATCTTTATGGGGAAAAAATTCAGGAACTAAGGAGGCACTTAGGCAATAATTGTTTTCCTTCTTTTTATAGTTATGACTTTACTATTGACTCTTTACCAATGAAACATTGAAATGTCAACCTTCAGTGCAATGGATGGATTTTGTTTTGTTGCTTTGCCTTTTTACCTCATCTGTAAAGTAGGAAGCAGACAGAGAATTAAAGATAAATAGTGGTTATTTTTAATGTATATTGTGTGTTGGTAATAAAAAGTTAGAGCCATGCAGGTTGCACAAAAGTTTGGTCTTTTTATTTTTTTCCAGCGTCTGTCTTTACAGAATACTATGTAAGTATCACCAAACAAATTACAGCGTGAGTGAAAAAGCATGCCTCTTTCATTGCCACTGAAGTAATTCTTCCAGCAGAGCCAGATTTTGAAAAATGGCAGCCATCAATGGCTATTTTTCTGATACCCTAGCTGTGAATTTTTTCATTCATTCTGTTAGTCTCACTCTTTGAAATATGGGGAAATTAGAACTGAATGAATACTGAACATAAATGCAACTAGACTATAGAAATACTTACCATGCAAGGAATGTTATTTTATGACCAACCTATGTAATTTATGTCTGATTTTAAAGGTAGAAAGACTCAAGTAATTTAAGTTTCTTTTAAAACTAAAGTCCTGCTTTGCTATTTTAAGGTAATGTGCTCTTTAAGAATATAGGAATGATTTTTAACGCTAAACCATTTTTTGTTCTCAGATAAAAGTAGTAAGTTGTCTGCCAGATTTCAAAAAATCCTTTCTTTATTTTATGAAGTATCTATCTTTTCTTAAACTATTTAGCCCCATAATAATCTTCATTTTAGATGATATAAAATTTCTGAAATATAGTAACAGTTGAGTATGTGTACACAGAGCAGTGGGGATTTTATTGAAATTATAAATCACTGAACCAGAAGTGTCCTCGTTAAACACTAACATTTTCTATTTTCAGAGGCTTAAATGTTTTTATCTTCAAAGTGCAAGAAAAGTAATATCGATGATACTATTTTCTCAGTGCTTTCAAATATCTTTCCATGTACATTGTATAACATTAAATTTACTTAAACTGACAAGGAATAGATAAATATTATTCTCTTTAAGAAATATTATTTTTAAAGAGTGTATTGCTTTTATTACTACTTATTATTTTGACTTTGCATCTGTTGTTATATGGGAACTCATTTTCCCATTCCAATGTTCCTTTAGTATTGGAGATTTGGCAAAACTATGACTAAAATATTTGAACTTATTCTCACCCCTGTACTTATTCCTTTAAGTATTCCTTAATTCATTCATAGATATATTCCAAAGGAACTGAAAATATGTGCCCATGCAAAACTTGTATACAATGTCTACAGCAGTATTATTCATAGTGGTAAAAAAATGGCAACATCTAAATGTCTATGACCTGATGGATGGATAAATAAAATCTAGTTGTATGGGTATCCTTGAAACCAGTTTCCAGTAGGGATGTATATGGGCTTCTCCACACAAATAAGCAGTTTTCAGACACCATCAGGGTGTCCTAAAAATTCAACTCAGTTATGGCTCTACCCAGAGATAGCTTCAGATCCCATAGATTTGGTCTCCCAAAATCATCTTCCATTTAAGATGACAACTGTAAGCCCACACTGCTACCTGGGTTTCTGACCAACTGGCCACAGGAAGGAAGTTCCCACAACCCTCTCCTCTTCAGACTTCAGGTGCTTGTCTTTCTGACCAACTGGCTATAAAGTAGAGATTGACTAGGACACCTTCCCCAGGTTCAATTACTTCACTTGAGTGGCTGACAAATTTCAAGAATCTCATTTAGTCACTAGACCACTGGATGAAAAAGGATCTATTTCAGAAAGAGTCAGATGAAAGATACAGCTAAGTGAGTGAAATCATCTGGTGGTTGTCTTTCTCTGTCTGCCTACTTCACTAAACATATCCTCTTGGTTACATTGTTTTGCTGAAAATGGCAGGATTTTTTTTTCTATCGAAATAGTACTCCATTGTGCATACATACATACATGTTTTAACCAGTCATCTGTCACTGGCCACTTAGGTTGTTTCCTTCTATTGCTCATTGAAAGTGCTGCAGTAAACATGGAGTGTGGCATATATTTATTTGAATTATTGTTTTGTGAGTAAAAACCTGAAGTGGGATAACTGTATATATGAAATTTCTGTTTTTAATTTTTTGAAGAATCTCCATACTGTGAAAGCAATTTTTTTGTGTGGACTCCTTGATAAGAATTGGGTTTTCTGGACCTTGGAAAACTGTAGAGATTTTTCTGTGACACAAACTTGTGTCTTTTCCCCCACAGTTGAAGATGGCTTTGTTGACAATCTGGTGTCTAGAAATAGATCCTACTTTTTGTCACCATTTATTGTAATGGAAACTTTTTGTGAGTACAATTTTTCCTAAATGTTGATATTACATTGAGAATGAATGAATAGTGATATTGTTCCAAATAATCCACTAACCTACCCTGAGGAGCAAGAAACCACGTGCTGAGCTGATTCTAATCCTGCTCTGATACCATTTCCCTCCTCCCTATTAAATTTTCTTTCTTAAGAATCTATAATGCAGTATGTATGCATAGTTTTTTCTTGAGTGTCTGCAAACCCAACTTAAAAAATGATACCTTTACACTTGGTAGTGGGAGGAAAGTTATCATTATTGCAGAGATCACTACTGGTATAGGATTGGTCTCCAAAAACATCTGATAGGCTTTCCTCAGGATGCCCGGATCAGGCCTCTTCCAATGTCACCTTGATGTGAAAGGTCAGTTGAGGCCCTGTGGGCCTTGGGAAGTCACTTGCCATTACTTAAAGAAAGCAGATTCTTTTAAGAACATATTTTAAGATCTTGTCCTGGACTCAGATCTTTCCCCTTTTTCCTAATCAAAGAGGCAATCACTGCTCTCCCTTTTCATAACCTAGAAGAATAGAATTTGCCAAGCTATGTTTATGGTGGACATGCCCTCCCTACCCAGGAATCTCATTTGTTTACTCTCAGAGTAAAGTGTGAAATCATCCCCTCCTTGCCATGTAAAGTCCTCTCCTTCCCTTTATGCTCAGGTGCTTGATGCTTGAGAATTTACAGTCACGTGCTCTGAAGGATGGGAAGAGAAATTTGTTTGGCTCCTTTATTTCTTTAGTTTTTTTTTTTTTTTTAGGGGCTTCAAATTATTCTTTATTGGAAAGATTTTAAAAATTTTAATTAATTTAACTTAGCTCCTTTATTTCTAATGGAAGGCCCTGTTCCAGCAGGTGAAATGTGGCCATTCTTGTCGAGGAAGGTCTCGCTTCCTTGAGGGTGGGGTCTATATTCTCTTTTTCTCATATAATAGTTAGCTCAATACTACATACACCGCTGATTCTCAGTAAGTGTTTGCTCTAGCCAATTAGATTTACATCTTGTGACTCTGAGAAATGATTACTCTAGCAGAGAAAGTGACTTACAGAATCCAAGTGCAGATATGCTGAAAGATAAATCCATAACACAAGAAACGTAACATTTCTATCATAGCCACTGACAATACCCAAATTATTGAAAGTCATAACACTTCAAGGGAAAATAATGACCAATTTGTGTGTATATTATGAAATATCTGTTATTATATTTGTGCTGATATGTGCATATGATATTGAAGTTAATATTAAGAACTTTAGTCAGGTGTGCATTTGACTTTTTTCTGTTTTTAAAGTTATATTGTTTTCATCTAATTCATTTTAACTAAAACTAATTTCTTCTGTGTGGCCATCATTGTGCTGAAAAAATACTAAAAGCTGTTTAAAATGTACTTAATCGTGCCCTTTAGATTCTTGAATTGACAACAGGTTAGTTAATATTCCTGAATTTTTCTACTTGGCTCATTAACGCCCTGTCAGATATTAACTTCTGTCATAAAGCATTTCTCTTTTACCATATAATGAGAATATGTATTGGATGAAAGCATAAAGGTGTCATCATTTAATTTTATTGCTGAAAGAAGCTTTAAAATTGATTGAGAAGCAACACAGACTGGGACAACATTGACTAACTTTAGTCAATGATGCATTGCTTCCCCTGTTATATTCTAAAGTGTAAAGGATAATCAAAATATATGTCAGTGCATCCATAAACACAACTTAGTCTAAAGGCAATTTTTGTGTGTAAGAGCAGTTTTATTAAAAATCTAAAATTTCATTTAAAAAAGACAAGTAGGGCCCTCCCTGGTGGCACAGCACATTAAAGCACAGCACCAAGAAGCTTAAGCTACTTTCTCATTACTTTGAACCCCACTGCCCCAAGGAGATCCTCATGGCGCGGCAGATGGCTCCTGACCCACCCACTGCTCCCCTCAGCAGTGTACTTTGTAGATCTGCCTGTTCTGCTCCCCACTCTGTCTCTGCTGAATCTCTCACCCTCCACATCTCTGGCCTGTACCTCAGGTCTGTATGAATAAATAAATAAATCTTAAAAAAATAAAAAAAGACAAGTAGAGGACTCTCCCTGGTGGCGCAACAGGTAAAGCACCACATTATGAAGCTCTAGGAAGCCACTGCAGCACGAGTTTGATCCCCAGCCAGGAGAGTTCTGCCACGCCTTTTGGATCACCTCGGAGGCTGGGTATTCAACTTGCACTTTAGCAGCTGTGGCTCACTTGCAATGCTGTGTCCTAACCCACCAAGCCACCAAGGAGGGCCCCATTTTATTGTTTTACAGATTTATTTTATTTATGCATACAAGAACGGGGGTTTAGGCCAGAGGTGCAGGGGGTGAGAGAATTTATCAGCAACACTATATTTCACCCAGTATATTTTAAATCAACTGAAATATACTGCTGAGGGGAACAGTTGGTGAGACAGGAGAGGTCTGCTGCACTATGGCCATATGGGTTAGCACCCTGACCTGGAACATGTGCCATGGTGGCCTGTGATAGCTTGATAACACTGAGACTTTAACCCTGTGCCACCAGAGATGCCTACTTAGGTCCAGTTTTAAGCTCATGTTTTAATCTTTCTTCAGGGCACTAGTCAGATTAATAGGCAATACACAATGTCAGATTAGTAGGATCATCAGCTCTACTGAAATCTATTTTCTTAGTGAACACAGGCCATTTTTTTTGCTGAATTTGCTGTTTTAAAGAATGAGATGTCAGTAAGGAAATAAAATAGATGTCAACTTGGCTTCATTCTTTCAGTGATAAAGTATTTCTGAAAAAGGAGTTCCTGATTGAAGATAAAAAAAACTGTCATGCTAATTTCCTCCAATTGCTTCCTGTCACTGTCACTGCCAGTCTGCCAGTGACTGACAGCTGGCTTAATAATTAAATTCAAGCAGTGTTTGCTTTTCTTGACCTTTTCTGAGAAATGAATTTTCAAGCTCTGGACATGACTAGAGTGCTTTAATTGAGGGAGAATAATGTGTTTGCATCATTCCCAGCAACCCATGGATCTGATTACCTGTAATATTTCTCCATTCCACTTCACAATGGACTTCTAGAGGATGACTGGC